TAGCTGTGTTTTGTTTTTAATGACAAGCGTAGAACAATTTTTATTTTCGTATATGAATTTTGCTATTTGTGCTTCTACTGATTGTAATAAAAAATATCAAATTTTATAACAGCTTTAAACATTCGAATACGGGTGCCATTATGCTATATTTAGTGTGCCGTGTGTGTTTATGTGGCAGTTGTAATAAAAATAAATTGTTAAATGCGTATTTAAAATAGCATTAAGGTAACTTTGCAATTAAAATTTTCATTATAATTAAATTAATTGTAATTATAAAAGTTGTGTTATTTTGTATTAATGTATCATTAAAGTTCTTGCGAATAGAAGTCTTACGTATTTTATAACAATACGTAAGACATCTATATTGTATAAAATTATTAATAAACAAATTTAAATTTGCAATACTGTATTAATGTTATAAACAAAACAATAAAAATATACAAAAAATAATTTTGTTAAACAGTGACGTGTTATCCTATGGGCAAAAAATGCATTTGCCAGGGTGGGGCATCCCTAATTCAAATTCAAATGGGATTCTTGAAGCTATAACATGCCACTTTAAAATGTAAAATTAAAAATTAATTTAGAACTTACCTGAGATTATGTTAATAATGTTAATTAAGTTTTTAATATTTAATGTGCTGTTTTATATTTAATTTGCATGTAATTGATTAATTTATGCTCAATTATTTTGTAAAATTTCCAGCTGATTATTCAGGCGATTAACTGCTATAATATCTTTAAAACGAAAAACCAGAAAACCCTAAAAGCACCCCAAAAGATAACTTTTAATAAGTATATGGAGATAATGTTCTACTGAATGGTCTTAGAAACATTACAATTGGTCGTAAACATATTTATTTTGACCCTTTAAAACTTGCTTTTCGAGTTGGTTAATAATTGAAAAAGTAAGGAATAATATTTAAAAATTGTCTATAAAATTGATGTATGCAAAAAATACTTGTGAAGAATTATATGAAGTTATTGTTCTTCCTATTGTCGACTGCTGTTGTATTTAGCTGTGTTTTGTTTTTAATGACAAGCGTAGAACAATTTTTATTTTCGTATATGAATTTTGCTATTTGTGCTTCTACTGATTGTAATAAAAAATATCAAATTTTATAACAGCTTTAAACATTCGAATACGGGTGCCATTATGCTATATTTAGTGTGCCGTGTGTGTTTATGTGGCAGTTGTAATAAAAATAAATTGTTAAATGCGTATTTAAAATAGCATTAAGGTAACTTTGCAATTAAAATTTTCATTATAATTAAATTAATTGTAATTATAAAAGTTGTGTTATTTTGTATTAATGTATCATTAAAGTTCTTGCGAATAGAAGTCTTACGTATTTTATAACAATACGTAAGACATCTATATTGTATAAAATTATTAATAAACAAATTTAAATTTGCAATACTGTATTAATGTTATAAACAAAACAATAAAAATATACAAAAAATAATTTTGTTAAACAGTGACGTGTTATCCTATGGGCAAAAAATGCATTTGCCAGGGTGGGGCATCCCTAATTCAAATTCAAATGGGATTCTTGAAGCTATAACATGCCACTTTAAAATGTAAAATTAAAAATTAATTTAGAACTTACCTGAGATTATGTTAATAATGTTAATTAAGTTTTTAATATTTAATGTGCTGTTTTATATTTAATTTGCATGTAATTGATTAATTTATGCTCAATTATTTTGTAAAATTTCCAGCTGATTATTCAGGCGATTAACTGCTATAATATCTTTAAAACGAAAAACCAGAAAACCCTAAAAGCACCCCAAAAGATAACTTTTAATAAGTATATGGAGATAATGTTCTACTGAATGGTCTTAGAAACATTACAATTGGTCGTAAACATATTTATTTTGACCCTTTAAAACTTGCTTTTCGAGTTGGTTAATAATTGAAAAAGTAAGGAATAATATTTAAAAATTGTCTATAAAATTGATGTATGCAAAAAATACTTGTGAAGAATTATATGAAGTTATTGTTCTTCCTATTGTCGACTGCTGTTGTATTTAGCTGTGTTTTGTTTTTAATGACAAGCGTAGAACAATTTTTATTTTCGTATATGAATTTTGCTATTTGTGCTTCTACTGATTGTAATAAAAAATATCAAATTTTATAACAGCTTTAAACATTCGAATACGGGTGCCATTATGCTATATTTAGTGTGCCGTGTGTGTTTATGTGGCAGTTGTAATAAAAATAAATTGTTAAATGCGTATTTAAAATAGCATTAAGGTAACTTTGCAATTAAAATTTTCATTATAATTAAATTAATTGTAATTATAAAAGTTGTGTTATTTTGTATTAATGTATCATTAAAGTTCTTGCGAATAGAAGTCTTACGTATTTTATAACAATACGTAAGACATCTATATTGTATAAAATTATTAATAAACAAATTTAAATTTGCAATACTGTATTAATGTTATAAACAAAACAATAAAAATATACAAAAAATAATTTTGTTAAACAGTGACGTGTTATCCTATGGGCAAAAAATGCATTTGCCAGGGTGGGGCATCCCTAATTCAAATTCAAATGGGATTCTTGAAGCTATAACATGCCACTTTAAAATGTAAAATTAAAAATTAATTTAGAACTTACCTGAGATTATGTTAATAATGTTAATTAAGTTTTTAATATTTAATGTGCTGTTTTATATTTAATTTGCATGTAATTGATTAATTTATGCTCAATTATTTTGTAAAATTTCCAGCTGATTATTCAGGCGATTAACTGCTATAATATCTTTAAAACGAAAAACCAGAAAACCCTAAAAGCACCCCAAAAGATAACTTTTAATAAGTATATGGAGATAATGTTCTACTGAATGGTCTTAGAAACATTACAATTGGTCGTAAACATATTTATTTTGACCCTTTAAAACTTGCTTTTCGAGTTGGTTAATAATTGAAAAAGTAAGGAATAATATTTAAAAATTGTCTATAAAATTGATGTATGCAAAAAATACTTGTGAAGAATTATATGAAGTTATTGTTCTTCCTATTGTCGACTGCTGTTGTATTTAGCTGTGTTTTGTTTTTAATGACAAGCGTAGAACAATTTTTATTTTCGTATATGAATTTTGCTATTTGTGCTTCTACTGATTGTAATAAAAAATATCAAATTTTATAACAGCTTTAAACATTCGAATACGGGTGCCATTATGCTATATTTAGTGTGCCGTGTGTGTTTATGTGGCAGTTGTAATAAAAATAAATTGTTAAATGCGTATTTAAAATAGCATTAAGGTAACTTTGCAATTAAAATTTTCATTATAATTAAATTAATTGTAATTATAAAAGTTGTGTTATTTTGTATTAATGTATCATTAAAGTTCTTGCGAATAGAAGTCTTACGTATTTTATAACAATACGTAAGACATCTATATTGTATAAAATTATTAATAAACAAATTTAAATTTGCAATACTGTATTAATGTTATAAACAAAACAATAAAAATATACAAAAAATAATTTTGTTAAACAGTGACGTGTTATCCTATGGGCAAAAAATGCATTTGCCAGGGTGGGGCATCCCTAATTCAAATTCAAATGGGATTCTTGAAGCTATAACATGCCACTTTAAAATGTAAAATTAAAAATTAATTTAGAACTTACCTGAGATTATGTTAATAATGTTAATTAAGTTTTTAATATTTAATGTGCTGTTTTATATTTAATTTGCATGTAATTGATTAATTTATGCTCAATTATTTTGTAAAATTTCCAGCTGATTATTCAGGCGATTAACTGCTATAATATCTTTAAAACGAAAAACCAGAAAACCCTAAAAGCACCCCAAAAGATAACTTTTAATAAGTATATGGAGATAATGTTCTACTGAATGGTCTTAGAAACATTACAATTGGTCGTAAACATATTTATTTTGACCCTTTAAAACTTGCTTTTCGAGTTGGTTAATAATTGAAAAAGTAAGGAATAATATTTAAAAATTGTCTATAAAATTGATGTATGCAAAAAATACTTGTGAAGAATTATATGAAGTTATTGTTCTTCCTATTGTCGACTGCTGTTGTATTTAGCTGTGTTTTGTTTTTAATGACAAGCGTAGAACAATTTTTATTTTCGTATATGAATTTTGCTATTTGTGCTTCTACTGATTGTAATAAAAAATATCAAATTTTATAACAGCTTTAAACATTCGAATACGGGTGCCATTATGCTATATTTAGTGTGCCGTGTGTGTTTATGTGGCAGTTGTAATAAAAATAAATTGTTAAATGCGTATTTAAAATAGCATTAAGGTAACTTTGCAATTAAAATTTTCATTATAATTAAATTAATTGTAATTATAAAAGTTGTGTTATTTTGTATTAATGTATCATTAAAGTTCTTGCGAATAGAAGTCTTACGTATTTTATAACAATACGTAAGACATCTATATTGTATAAAATTATTAATAAACAAATTTAAATTTGCAATACTGTATTAATGTTATAAACAAAACAATAAAAATATACAAAAAATAATTTTGTTAAACAGTGACGTGTTATCCTATGGGCAAAAAATGCATTTGCCAGGGTGGGGCATCCCTAATTCAAATTCAAATGGGATTCTTGAAGCTATAACATGCCACTTTAAAATGTAAAATTAAAAATTAATTTAGAACTTACCTGAGATTATGTTAATAATGTTAATTAAGTTTTTAATATTTAATGTGCTGTTTTATATTTAATTTGCATGTAATTGATTAATTTATGCTCAATTATTTTGTAAAATTTCCAGCTGATTATTCAGGCGATTAACTGCTATAATATCTTTAAAACGAAAAACCAGAAAACCCTAAAAGCACCCCAAAAGATAACTTTTAATAAGTATATGGAGATAATGTTCTACTGAATGGTCTTAGAAACATTACAATTGNGCTTATTGATTGTTGTTTTTATCGCATTTTCCATTGGACTACTTTTGGGCTATTTACTCTGTTGCCGGTTATTTGATTGGGAGGAAATAATCTGGCAGCGGAGAGAGATCGTACACTTTTTACCCACGAGGCGAGGAAGCGAGACGTTCGACATGGTTGTTACCGGGAAAGAGCAATCCGTTTCCATCGGTCTACATTTACTTAATTTTTCATCGGTAGGAAGAAGGAAACGAAGCAAATATAATTTAAAAAGCATCGCACTTGGAAGTTGAATCGATTTTTATGAATCGTGGGAAAAAGATGTAAGAAAGGTAACGTGTTCTTTTATTGTTCTGTTTCGTTGAGAAATGTTAAGTGAAATTCATTTTCTAATGAAACAAAACAATTCAATGGTAAAAAGTAAATTAATAGGAAAGAATTTTCGATTTATTTCGGGAACGAATTAATTATTTCATAGTTTCAAATTGTGTTACGTTGTAGACTGGTTTAAATTTTGATAAAACGGTTGATGTGAAGTAGGTTAAACGTTAAAATGTATATTATTCATAACAAAACTTTCTGAGTAAAATTAAAAATTTTGCTATTTCTTAAGACAAAGAAATTGTCTTGAGAAATAGCAATTGCATCTTGAGCAGTGCACTCAGTAAGTCGTTCTATTGTGGCTATACGCCTGTTTATTATTATTATTATTAGTCTGTATAGTTTTAGTTTAATTTAAATTCTAGAATTTTCCTTCCAATTTCTTTGTTCCTTTGTCTCGGACTTCAGAGAACTCGCCTCACCCCTAACCCATCAGGAGGTAGGGTTAGAACAATAGACGTTAACAAGGCTGGAGGGGAAAAGGAGAGATTCCAGAATTAATCTTGGGCCAGACTCCGAGAGAGAAGGACGAGTGGCAGCAGACTCCCAAAAGGGAAAGTCGGGAAGCGCTGCAGAAGGAGGCCATAAGAAGCGGATCGGCAGAAGAATCCGATCGATGATTATAGAAAAGGAAACCCCGAAACGGACCCGAATTGTTCTAAAAAGGAGAACAGCTGCAGAAAGAAGCCGAGACGAACGGTGTAGAACCAACAGAAAAATTGGGTACCCTCTGTCCTTTAGTTCTTCTTACTTCCTCTTCTACCTTTCCTATCTTTTAGTTTAAATTTACACGCACAAATAGATTTGTCAGGAGGTAGTTATCGAAAAGGTAACTACCGGTCTATTGGTATAACTGGTCATTCAGGATTTTGGAAAAGTGTAGGTAAACTGCTGAATCCGAACCTTTTCTGTATATATGTATCATTCAATGTCAGCGCAAAATTAAACTCGTTTAATTGGTTAAAACGTGTATGTGTTTTTCCTGTCTGCACTGTACATTTCACACTATTCTGTTCATAGAGTAGTGCTTTTTACGAGTCATCCCAAAAAATTTTTTTGGTTAAATTTTGGGATGACTTGTAAAAAGCACAATTTAACCGAAATGAGATATCTGAAATTATGATTAAACTTAATTATAATTTCTATTGAAGTTCTGAATCTGTTTAGTGTGGATTTTTAAAATTTGTTTGCATATGTATCTGCAGATTGGTGCAGTAGGCTAAACTGTTACAAAAATGTTGCACTCTTGGGATATTTTTTCTATTTTAGGGCAATATCCACAGTTTTGATACTGATGCCTGTGGAGCATCTGCTTTCTCAACACTTTTAGGAATTTCATACAGGGAACTGAACTTGTCTGTGAGGAATGAGCCTGTTTTTGTACTATCGTAAATCATTTTGTTGTGATTTATGATGGTAGATGTATGCAATACCACTTCAAATGTGAAAAAGAAAATAGATATAGGACTACTTGTGGGTGGGTGCCACATTAACTTGTCCAACACTACTAAAAAAAAGTGAACACTGAAAGCATTAGTGATGCTTTATTTTCAATTCTGGTATCTTGTTGAAGGGGATACTCAAAGGAAGGTAGACAAGCACAGCACTTGCCTTAATATGGACAGTTAGAAACAAATTTTTTGCTTTGAGTTGAGAGCTAAAATTTATGTTACGGGCCAGCTTCAGATACCCTATTGCTAGTTGGCACAGCAAACCACAGATTAAGAAAAGGGTGTAAAACTGCCATAATTTTGTCATGTTACTCTTCCAATGTCTTGACAGGCTAGCTCAGTGTTTTTCAACCGGGGTGCCACGGCGNGAACGGGTACACTCGATAAGTATTCCGACAATTTTTTGTTCATAGCATATTTTATAACGATCATTTCAACAAATTATACGTGTTTTGGAAATATTCGAGTGAAATTAGTCTAGATTTAGTTAATTTTATGGAAGTAAACCTCTCAAATAGCCGTACCCGTTAATCTGTACAAGTGCCTGTTACTCTTCCAATGTCTGACAGGCTAGCTCAGTGTTTTTCAACCGGGGTGCCACGGCGCCACAATTGTGGTGTCGCAAAGTTTAGAGCCTTTAGGCATTTTCTTGGAAATTTACTCTAGTGTAGTTCAAGATAACTTATTGTCAGTTCTATTTTGCTACGAGATATCTAGTAAGCAAGGAAACTATGACTAATCGCATGTTAATGTAATGTTCTACGCTATGTGTACGCACGACTTGTCACGAGTTCGCCCAAACCACATTGCTTGGCCTTCATGTTCCCAGTCCCAGTGCCAGGCTAACCACCAGAGAAGAATGACAAACAAAAGCGAGACTTATTTTACATGTAGGTATTTCGACAAAATTCAATGAACTTAAATTTTGATTTTGAACACGTAGAAACACTTTCGTGTTGCGCGTAATATTCACAAAAAATTCATCTGGCCCATTAGTCTCCCCCTTTATTCAGATTCTAGATCTGCCGCTGGTCAAGGGTGTCACGATTTGTTATTTTTCAATTAGGTGTGCCACTCAATGAAAAAGATTGAAAAACACTGGGCTAGCTTATAGAAAAACATGTGATTGAATGATGTAGTCATTAGTTCTTATAAGTACATTTGTCTTATTTAAAAATGTGTAACAAAATTATTGTAGTTTTGGGGTCTGAAATGTGTTAATGGCATTTCAATGGGGAAAATTGATTTGACATGAATAATTTGAGTTACAAGCTCCATCACAGAATGAATTAAACTCATAAGTCAAGACACCACTGTACATATTGTGAGTGGTGATTGGAGAGCCTATATACAGTAGATCCCCCTATAAGATGGTAGATACGTTCCGTTCTTTATGAATCAATTTTGTAGGAATCATAGTTTACGGACTACGGCTGTTTGAAAGGTTTTCTTTCATAAAATTAATCGATTCTAGACTAATTCGACTCAACATTTCCAAAATACGTATATTTTTCTGAAAATAATACGTATAAACTACGTTATAAACAAAAAATTGTAGGATTGCTTACCGAGTGTGTACCATTCAACTACGCCCGTTGCTAAAGCTTGGTTTCGTCGTGGAACAGCGCATCAAACCGCGGCCGCAATTTCTGATATTATTTTTCTGCGAAAACTTCTTTGACTTTTGGAGACATCCTTAATATAAATAATTTTTATGGCCGTTAAATAAGAAATGTTTCTTTCACAAGAAATGTATAAAATTACAGTACTGGACAGACGATAGGTCGCCTAACTCGCCGTAGCGTGACGCTAGACGGCGAAAAATATATATTTAATTATAATAAAGTTACAATAAATTAAGTTAATATATAATTATATATACAGTACCTAATTTATATATAATTAATATATAATTATATGTACAGTACCTAATTTATATATAATTATATGAACAGACGATACTAAACTCAATTTATCCGCCTAAACGTCCGTAGCGTGGCGCTACGGACGGCGGGAAAGTAGTTCGGCTGCCCGATGACGTTTTACGTATTATAGGAGTTATTTTTACCGTTGTTTACGGATACTGCCACAATTTTTATAGGAATCATAACTATAGGAAACGGTTTTATAGGGGGATCTACTGTACAAGAATTTTTTAAATCCATTTATAAGTACTCATTGGTTTGTGGAGGATTAGCTCCAACAGTGATAGTGGATAAAACCATAATGCTGGTGGTTGGTCTTTGGTTTGCACCTATTCATCTGATAGTTTACAAACTGGCTAATATCAATTATTGTGTGCAACTGTTAAATTTTTAACCATCCTTGTACTTTCAGCAAACTGTTTATCGACAAGTGTTAAATTTTTGTTGTGTATAAATCTAATGCAAAAATTAAAACCATTTATCTTTTGGGTAAAAGTCCATCCTTACTACATGGGGCATTTTTTTATAATTTTGTTCTCTTAAGACACCTCTCTAGTAGACATGTCCTAAACACAGAAATTTCGGGGGTAAATGCATTTAATAAGCTATAAGCAAAAACTTGTCGAATTACTTACCGACTGCACGGTGGAAGCCACCATTGCTTAACCTTGTTCACATTGCGGAGTAGCAGGTTGGATGCTTACAATTCATGTCACGTGACCTCGTTTCCACGCTTATCTAGTCACGTGACAACAGCTCTGATGCATTTCCAATCAACTATATCTTGCAGGAATCACATGATAGAACAAAGACATCGTAGAATGCGCATGTTAATAGCGGTCATGTGTAGATATTGCAAACTAGTTATTGATACATGTTCAAGAACTACTATGAATTAATACCTAGTTATGTTAAACAGTCAGTGGCTGCTCTTCGGGAGGAGTCTGTTGGGAGCATGAATAGTTGTGACCGCCATGGTGGTGCACATAAACATAAATTGGAAAAAATTTTACCTGTTATTGTTATTCTCATTTAACATTTAACTCATTTAATATGACTAGTAACATAATAAGTCATTTCTAATTACAAGATACATACTATAGTATATTATGATATATCACGTGACCAGACAGCACTGAGAAATGTTACATGACACTCTTTGTGTGCATTTGCCATGTAATGTGCCACTCCACGACAAAAACAGGCTTAAGTTCCACCGTGCAGAGTCAGTCAGTAATCTGAAGAGTTTTTGCTTATACAGTGGAACGTCGATTATTCAAAAGTCAATCATTTGAAAGAATTCCAGTCGGCAAATTTAAATTTTTGCCAGTGCTGTGGCGCGGCAATCTTTGGCTATGTCTAGGGCTACTCAAATATTTTACATTTTTGATACTAAATTAACTTCTGAAGTAAATTTTATTGTTTTTATATNAATTATATGTACAGTACCTAATTTATATATAATTATATGAACAGACGATGCTAAACTCAATTTATCCGCCTAAACGTCCGTAGCGCCACGCTACGGACGGCGGGAAAGTAGTTCGGCTGCCCGATGACGTTTTACGTATTATAGGAGTTATTTTTACCGTTGTTTACGGATACTGCCACAATTTTTATAGGAATCATAACTATAGGAAACGGTTTTATAGGGGGATCTACTGTACAAGAATTTTTTAAATCCATTTATAAGTACTCATTGGTTTGTGGAGGATTAGCTCCAACAGTGATAGTGGATAAAACCATAATGCTGGTGGTTGGTCTTTGGTTTGCACCTATTCATCTGATAGTTTACAAACTGGCTAATATCAATTATTGTGTGCAACTGTTAAATTTTTAACCATCCTTGTACTTTCAGCAAACTGTTTATCGACAAGTGTTAAATTTTTGTTGTGTATAAATCTAATGCAAAAATTAAAACCATTTATCTTTTGGGTAAAAGTCCATCCTTACTACATGGGGCATTTTTTTATAATTTTGTTCTATTAAGACACCTCTCTAGTAGACATGTCCTAAACACAGAAATTTCGGGGGTAAATGCATTTAATAAGCTATAAGCAAAAACTTGTCGAATTACTTACCGACTGCACGGTGGAAGCCACCATTGCTTAACCTTGTTCACATTGCGGAGTAGCAGGTTGGATGCTTACAATTCATGTCACGTGACCTCGTTTCCACGCTTATCTAGTCACGTGACAACAGCTCTGATGCATTTCCAATCAACTATATCTTGCAGGAATCACATGATAGAACAAAGACATCATAGAATGCGCTTGTTAATAGCGGTCATGTGTAGATATTGCAAACTAGTTATTGATACATGTTCAAGAACTACTATGAATTGATCCTAGTTATGTTAAACAGTCAGTGGCTGCTCTTCGGGAGGAGTCTGTTGGGAGCATGAATAGTTGTGACCGCCATGGTGGTGCACATAAACATAAATTGGAAAAAATTTTACCTGTTATTGTTATTAACTCATTTAATATGACTAGTAACATAATAAGTCATTTCTAATTACAAGATACATACTATAGTATATTATGATATATCACGTGACCAGACAGCACTGAGAAATGTTACATGACACTCTTTGTGTGCATTTGCCATGTAATGTGCCACTCCACGACAAAAACAGGCTTAAGTTCCACCGTGCAGAGTCAGTCAGTAATCTGAAGAGTTTTTGCTTATACAGTGGAACGTCGATTATTCAAAAGTCAATCATTTGAAAGAATTCCAGTCGGCAAATTTAAATTTTTGCCAGTGCTGTGGCGCGGCAATCTTTGGCTATGTCTAGGGCTACTCAAATATTTTACATTTTTGATACTAAATTAACTTCTGAAGTAAATTTTTTGTTTTTATATTTTTCAATATATTTATTTTGTTTGTACAAAATAAAAAAAAATAATTTTTAACGATACAATAGTCTTCGTTAGGCTTAACATTGACAAATTTAATGCGAAGCAGCATGCTATGGATAAAAATTTTAACATGGGATAAATTAATATTTTTTCGTGCATAATCAGTTATCCGAAACATCAATCTTCTGAACAACCCCAGTCCCCAATTGATTCGGATAATCGACGCTCTACTGTAGCTCTTATTAAATGCATTGCCCCAAATGTTTGTGTTTAGGACACATCTATTAGAGAGGTGTCTTAAGAGAGCAAAATTAGAAAAAAGGAAAGTCCATCCATTATAGTAAGGATGGACTTTTACCATCTTTTGTATCAATCTTGACAATGATGACTAAAGATGACGAGCCTGAATTCTGTTGATGAACATGAGGCATTTGTCTGAGTCAATTATATTTTTACTGAATAACATACTTAATTTTACGATAATGTAGTTTGAATGTTTAAGTACATAAAATTCTGTTAAATAATGTCTCATCAAACTAATACAACTCCCTGCCAAAAGTATTAGATCACCCTTCAAAAATATTGATTGTGTTTTAACATTAGAAAGAAGCTTAAATCATTTGCACGTGAAACAAAAATATTATACCACACTTGTGTAGGGCCACCTATGGCTTTAATTAAAGCTTCAATTTGTTTTGGAATTTGGTATACAAGATATTGACTCACTTGGTGTAATTTCATTCTCAACATATGTTTATAGCCAATATGGTTTTATAGATCTGCCAGAACAATGTTGATTTTTGATACATCCAGATAATTTAAATTTCTTTTTCTAATGTTAAATCGTGTTAAATTTCTATTGTGTGATTCTTTTCTGTTAAATGAATATTGAATTTTAAAGGGAAAAATACAGGAAACTTATAAAATGTAATTAAAATTGTTGTTGATTTTGTAGTTTTGATTGCATATATTTTTTAAGTAATCTAATACTTGGCAGAGAGGGGGTTGTAGATTTTACGTACTCTTAAGTTTTTTATAACAAAATCAGGATCAGTAAAAAATTCAAGTAGATTTGCATATGGTAATTTAAAAATTTGAATATGCATATTTTCAAAACAATCAAGTAAATTATTTTTAAATTAATTCAAAAATTTCTTTTGTTCAGGAATTTGGCCAGTGAAGAATACATTGAGTGTAAATATGTTATGGTAAGTTCAAAATCTGTTTAATATAAAAATGAAATTGGTAAAGATATGATAAATATTCTTAAAAATTGAGATAACTAATGATGAATTGCTTCAGTCACTGATTACTTTTGTAGACAATTTATAGATAATTTTCTGAATATTCTGGACTTTATATTACTTTTGAGCTTTAAATTTGTTAATACTTTGTTAATAAAAATTTAAATTATTACTTCAGGGTTATTCTGCATCATGTTTGAAGATCAAATGCTTGTATTATGGAAAAATACAAGGTATGTTGTTTTAATCTAAGTTGCTTGACAATATAAATATAAGACAAATCTTTTAAGTGGAAGTGAATATAATGAAACATTTAATTCTGGGCTAGATGATATAAACAAGAGTTAAATTCTTATTCTATATTTCGGTGACAAAAAACACTTTGAATAAAGATTCAAGATGTGTGAAAAAGATTATAATAAATGTGAGCTATACATATATTTAAGAAAGATTAATGAAAATAAGATAATTATTGTATTTCCTTGATTACAAACACAGAGATAATTTTAAAATGTGTATCTCATGAGGTTTTTTTTATAGCCTCAGTTTATTGCAAGTGGGTAAAAATTGAAAGAAATCTTAATTACTTGTACAGTTTGGAACTTTCAAAACAATTTATTTCTAAATTACATTAACGTACAGTTTGCAGTGCTTTAACGTCTTTCTATACTTCTCAACCTGGGCTTTGAGACATTTATTTTTTGAATTGTGAGGTTTGAGGAAATATAGTTACCCAATTTTGGGAGTGTATGAGTAGTCGTGGATAGTTTGAGTAAGGAGGCTAACTCCTTACCATTGGGGTGGATAAAAGTGAGTAATAAAGAATAAATGTTTGCAAAGGGAAAATTGTAGTTTGTTGAAATTCTCATTCTACCACTACAGTTAAAAACAATTGAAGTTCAACAACTATAGAGGCTGCTGTATAAATTTAAAATGATGAATGCAAACATGGCATGCTTTATTTTAATATTAAATGGTGTCTTGTGTGTGGTTAATATGGACATAGGTTTGTGTCATTTAAAAAAGTTGAAAGTAATGATTAATATGAACTTGCTGAACACAAGTTATATATTAATTATCAAGATATATTGATTGGATTTCAAGAAAAGACTTTGGAAATTTGGTTAATAATCTTATTGGATCATTTTTACAACCTCCAGCATTCCCACATTGTAGAATCTTTAAGTTTACTTTTTGTGATGATTTGTTATCCAGAACCAAATATGTATATGAGGATAAAGTTTGTCTGATACTTTACTTTTTAAATAATAATCAGAATTTTTTTTACTTTCATTTATTTGTTTTAAATTATTTTATAGATTCTACATATTTATGGAATACATAAAAGGTGCATATTAAACAATGGATGACATTTAATTTTTAAAATCTGGATATCAGATACAAGAAGAACTAATTAATAAAACTGAAAATAATTAGTAAGTAAACATTTTTGTGAACTATTCTTAATGTTTGCATGATATTGAGAAATATCAAACTGCAGAAAAAANTTAGGACACATCTATTAGAGAGGTGTCTTAAGAGAGCAAAATTAGAAAAAAGGAAAGTCCATCCATTATAGTAAGGATGGACTTTTACCATCTTTTGTATCAATCTTGACAATGATGACTAAAGATGACGAGCCTGAATTCTGTTGATGAACATGAGGCATTTGTCTGAGTCAATTATATTTTTACTGAATAACATACTTAATTTTACGATAATGTAGTTTGAATGTTTAAGTACATAAAATTCTGTTAAATAATGTCTCATCAAACTAATACAACTCCCTGCCAAAAGTATTAGACCACCCTTCAAAAATATTGATTGTGTTTTAACATTAGAAAGAAGCTTAAATCATTTGCACGTGAAACAAAAATATTATACCACACTTGTGTAGGGCCACCTATGGCTTTAATTAAAGCTTCAATTTATTTTGGAATTTGATATACAAGATATTGACTCACTTGGTGTAATTTCATTCTCAACATATGTTTATAGCCAATATGGTTTTATAGATCTGCCAGAACAATGTTGATTTTTGATACATCCAGATAACTTAAATTTCTTTTTCTGATGTTAAATTTCTATTGTGTGATTTTTTTCTGTTAAATGAATATTGAATTTTAAAGGGAAAAATACAGGAAACTTATAAAATGTAATTAAAATTGTTGTTGATTTTGTAGTTTTGATTGCATATATTTTTTAAGTAATCTAATACTTGGCAGAGAGGGGGTTGTAGATTTTACGTACTCTTAAGTTTTTTATAACAAAATCAGGATCAGTAAAAAATTCAAGTAGATTTGCATATGGTAATTTAAAAATTTGAATATGCATATTTTCAAAACAATCAAGTAAATTATTTTTAAATTAATTCAAAAATTTCTTTTGTTCAGGAATTTGGCCAGTGAAGAATACATTGAGTGTAAATATGTTATGGTAAGTTCAAAATCTGTTTAATATAAAAATGAAATTGGTAAAGATATGATAAATATTCTTAAAAATTGAGATAACTAATGATGAATTGCTTCAGTCACTGATTACTTTTGTAGACAATTTATAGATAATTTTCTGAATATTCTGGACTTTATATTACTTTTGAGCTTTAAATTTGTTAATACTTTGTTAATAAAAATTTAAATTATTACTTCAGGGTTATTCTGCATCATGTTTGAAGATCAAATGCTTGTATTATGGAAAAATACAAGGTATGTTGTTTTAATCTAAGTTGCTTGACAATATAAATATAAGACAAATCTTTTAAGTGGAAGTGAATATAATGAAACATTTAATTCTGGGCTAGATGATATAAACAAGAGTTAAATTCTTATTCTATATTTCGGTGACAAAAAACACTTTGAATAAAGATTCAAGATGTGTGATAAAGATTATAATAAATGTGAGCTATACATATATTTAAGAAAGATTAATGAAAATAAGATAATTATTGTATTTCCTTGATTACAAACACAGAGATAATTTTAAAATGTGTATCTCGTGAGATTTTTTTTATAGCCTCAGTTTATTGCAAGTGGGTAAAAATTGAAAGAAATCTTAATTACTTGTACAGTTTGGAACTTTCAAAACAATTTATTTCTAAATTACATTATTGTACAGTTTGCAGTGCTTTAACATCTTTCCTATGCTTCTCAACCTGGACTTTGAGACATTTATTTTTTGAATTGTGAGGTTTGAGGAAATATAGTTACCCAATTTTGGGAGTGTATGAGTAGTCGTAGATAGTTTGAGTAAGGAGGCTAACTCCTTACCATTGGGGTGGATAAAAGTGAGTAATAAAGAATAAATGTTTGCAAAGGGAAAATTGTAGTTTGTTGAAATTCTCCTCCTACCACTACAGTTAAAAACAATTGAACTTCAACAACTATAGAGGCTGCTGTATAAATTTAAAATGATGAATGCAAACATGGCATGCTTTATTTTAATATTAAATGGTGTCTTGTGTGTGGTTAATATGGACGTAGGTTTGTGTCATTTAAAAAAGTTGAAAGTAATGATTAATATGAACTTGCTGAACACAAGTTATATATTAATTATCAAGATATGTTGATTGGATTTCAAGAAAAGACTTAGGAAATTTGGTTAATAATCTTATTGGATCATTTTTACAACCTCCAGCATTCCCACATTGTAGAATCTTTAAGTTTACTTTTTGTGATGATTTGTTATCCAGAACCAAATATATATATATGAGGATAAAGTTCGTCTGATACTTTACTTTTTAAATAATAATCAGAATTTTTTTTACTTTCACTTATTTGTTTTAAATTATTTTATAGATTCTACATATTTATGGAATACATAAAAGGTGCATATTAAACAATGGATGACATTTAATTTTTAAAATCTGGATATCAGATACAAGAAGAACTAATTAATAAAACTGAAAATAATTAGTAAGTAAACATTTTTGTGAACTATTCTTAATGTTTGCATGATATTGAGAAATATCAAACTGCAGAAAAAAATCTTTCAAAGGCTTAATTAACTTCACGTAATAAAGAATATAATTAGTATAAAATTTTATTTTTTTTTAATTGTAATTTAGTCTATACAGTCCTTAAAAATGATCATTATGATGACTAAAAGATGACGAATCTGATAGCTGTGATGTTTATCGAGGCATTTGTCTGAAATAGTTTTTTGAATATAACTATTTCGTTTGAAATTATATAATATATTAATTAGTTTGGCTTTAATTTCAGGTATTAAATGTGCTGATTGTACAGGATAATTGATTTTGTAAGTAGTAACATTTAATTCTACTAAAGTTTTGAATTTTAGAAATAAGTTTCTAAATTTGAAGTTTTAAAAGTTTACATGTAATTAATGATTTACATCTAAAATGCATTATTTTTGTAAATATTATCTAAAATGCTATATTTTTGTAAATATTAATGAGAATTTTAATAATTGATTTTAAAAATCGACATCCACAAATTATTATTTACTTTAACAAATTAAGTGCTGTGTTTTAGCACATGATGCTTAATGAATTAATGTGCAAACATCCAGCAATTAACCCAGGTCATGTTTTGCATTTCTGCTACACATTTAAATATGCTGTGTAACTTCAGAGCAACTGGCCAGCCTTATAAATGTAATGGAAATTGTGAGAATTGGAATGGATATTATATAATTAAACATTACAATGTAGAATTTAATAAATCTATTTAGAAAACCCCTAATCTGGATCATATTCCAAGACATTTTCCTCGTCTTTCGATGGAGAGAAAATAGAAGTGCTGTTTTAAAAGGTAGCAAAAAATTTTCTCTCTTTTCAAATCTTTATTCAATTAGTGTGAGAAAATATATAGATCTTGTTGTCTTCATTAATGGAACCACATCCATCACTTTTGTGCCAAAAGGGGAAATCAACTTCCCTTTCACGCATTCTTATCTCCAACTTCAATAACCATTTCTTTATGTATCGATTATTATTTTCTTTTACATTTTGTCTTCATTAAATTTTGTTTCATTTGATTAAAAACTGTCTCATTATTGAACTCAATTCAATGCAGTCCTATCATGGGTCTACGATCCCCCCTCTCGGAAAAGTACTTCCTGTCCCCCAAATCAAAAACAACTAAAAGCCCAACCTAGTGACCCTGTGGGCAGATCTTCCTGATCAGATGCCAAACAAAATTCCCACAAAATAGTTTGAAAATGGCCTATATGAATGGAAATTTCACTTTGCTATGATAGAATTCTAATAGAAATTTTTTCTCTATAAAATGAGAAATATGCAATGTTTTTCTTGCACAATGAACATGGATAGGTACAACAATATCATGAAAATATAAAACATTTGTATTCCATTCTACAACATGTCTAAAAATCAAGGAAAATGTAAATCTTAAAATAGAACAAATTAGATTGCTTATATTTATTGGAATATTAAAGTTTGTTATATCTAAAATAACTTCATAAAAGTGATAATACACTGATTTATTGTGTAATAATTGTTTTTGATTTAACTTATCCTGTAATATTTGCATTACATGATGACACAGTTATGTCTCTTCACATCTGACTTAAGTTGAAGACTCCCCTTGGCTGTCTGATATATTTATCTTAATATGTACTGAATAGTACTTACATTTGGAATACTGAAAGTTAAAATTACTTTTTTTTTCCTAGGTTTGCCATTAATTAAAAATTGAAATTTTTGCCATTTCATAATGGTAAGTGAAAGTACTATTATATTATTATTTTTTTAATGATGATAATTTCAGACTAGAGTCTCTGATTAACTGTTGAATGTAAATTTGTTATCTGATCAATGAAAATAAGTTTAAATTTGAAGCATTTTTTTAAATTTTATTTTATATTTAAAATTATAAATTATCCTGCAGGTAATTTTCAAATTGAATTTGTCAATATAAATACAAGTAAGTTTAATATTTTAAACTCTATGTAGTTTAAATAGTTAATAATCAAAAATAATAATTAGTTTTTCCATCAGAACTTAATTTGTGGCTGGTTTTTGATGTGATAATTTGTTTCGTGTGTTATGTCAGTTGTTTATCTAACCACTGAGTTGGTTTTAACTAGTTACATGTTTTTATTTGCATTTCTATTTAAGAACAACAATTTCTCAGTACACTAAATTCTGTATCTATGCAGTAGAAAAGTACTTGAAAACGTCATGTAAAAGATCTATCTGTATGGAAAAATGGAACGTTAGTTTCCAGATCTTAAAAACATGCCAAGACAAACCTAGTTGTAGAAGTAACCACTGATGATATGCCACTCCAAGGCCAAGGTCAGAATGGTCTTTGTCTGCCATTATCTGTCCCAATCACACTTCATTAGATGTGAATGATCTTCCAGAAATAAGTCATCCTCATTGGGATCAGAAGTTAATATGTAACTAATTGTGTTTAATTAAAGCATGTGACAATTTTTTCTTAAATAAGCAAACCATTGTTAATCTTGTGGAGTGTATTGTTACAAATATCATCACAAGCAAGAGTGAACTTAACCTTGGGTTCCTTTTTAAATAATCATGTAATAGTTTTATCAATAAGTTAGTAATATGTAAAGATTGGGTGATTCATAGAGCCAAAAAGAAATTTATTTATTCTCTTGTGTGAGATATGGCAATACTTGATGATCATAACTATTCTGCATTTTTTAGATTTTTCTTTCTAAAGTTACCAAAATTAACATATTTGACAACTTCAAGTCATAAGGCATTTTTGACTTAAAATAAATGTGATTATTTTCGTATGTTTGTGTACCTCTCTGTGGCTACCCCTTATGTCTATATTATCCTAGCAGAAGTGTGAGAATTCTGCTTTCTAACTTCATTGTATGGGTGTTTCACCAATAAAACTTTGTATTTGCTCACATGCAATTCCATAACAAGCCTGAAAATCAAGAAAATATTTTTCAATGACAAAGTACATATTAACTTTGATAAAAATAACTGATATGAACTCATTACACAGCTATAAGTTCTGTAAATATTAATACAAAGATATATAATGATGATTTGCTTCAGTCACTGATAAATTTTGTAGACAAATTTTAATTTTCTGAATTAATTGAATTTTTTTTATTGCTTATAGTTTGAGATGTCATTTTATTAATAAGATATTTAATTAATTCAAGGTTTATCAAGTTATCCCATTGACATAAATATGGAGCCCACATTTGTATTATGGGCCGGATACAAGGTATGATCGCATTATATTTTTCTTAGCCTAATCCAAACTAAATCTGGTGTTTAAAGTTTTGATCAAATGTTTTTAAATGATTCTAAAATTGTCCCTAANATGGAAATTGTGTGAATTGGAATGGATATTATATAATTAAATATTACAATGTAGTTAATAAATTGTTTAGAAAACCCCTAATCTGGATCATATTCCAAGACATTTTCCTCGTCTTTCAGTGGAGAGAAAATAGATGCTGTTTTAAAAGGTAGCAAAGAATTTTTTCTTTTTTTAAATCTTTATTCAATTAGTGTGAGAAAATATATAGATCTTGTCTTCATTAATGGAACCACATCTATCACTTGTGCCAAAAGGAGAAATCAACTTCCCTTTCACACATTCTTATCTCCAAATTCGATAACCATCTCTTTATGTATCGATTATTATTTTCTTTTATATTTTGTCTTCATTAAATTTTTTTTTAATTAAAAATGGTCTCATTATTGAACTCAATTCAATGCAGTCTTATCATGGGTCTACGATCCCCCTCTCAGAAAAGTACTTCCTGTCCCCCAAATCAAAAACAGCTAAAAGCCCAACCTAGTGACCCTGCGGGCAGATCTTCCTGATCTGATGCCAAACAAAATTCCCACAAAATACTTTGAAAATGGCCTATATGAATGGAAATTTCACTTTGCTATGATAGAATTCTAATAGAAATTTTTTTCCCTATAAAAAGAGGAATATGCGATGTTTTCTTTTTTTTCCTAATGTTTTTCTTGCACGATGAACATGGATAGATACAACAATATCATGAAAATATAAAACATTTGTATTCCATTCTACAACATGCCTAAAAATCAAGGAAAATGTAAATCTTAAAATAGAACAAATTAGATTGCTTATACTTTATGGAATATTAGTTTGTTATATCTAAAATAGCTTCATAAAAGTGATAATGCACTGATTTATTGTGTAATAATTGTTTTTGATTTAACTTATCCTGTAATATTTGCATTACATGATGACACAGTTATGTCTCTTCACATCTGACTTAAGTTGAAGACTCCCCTTGGCTGTCTGATATATTTATCTTAATATGTACTGAATAGTACTTACATTTGGAATACTGAAAGTTAAAATTACTTTTTTTTTCCTAGGTTTGCCATTAATTAAAAATTGAAATTTTTGCCATTTCATAATGGTAAGTGAAAGTACTATTATATTATTATTTTTTTAATGATGATAATTTCAGACTAGAGTCTCTGATTAACTGTTGAATGTAAATTTGTTATCTGATCAATGAAAATAAGTTTAAATTTGAAGCATTTTTTTAAATTTTATTTTATATTTAAAATTATAAATTATCCTGCAGGTAATTTTCAAATTGAATTTGTCAATATAAATACAAGTAAGTTTAATATTTTAAACTCTATGTAGTTTAAATAGTTAATAATCAAAAATAATAATTAGTTTTTCCATCAGAACTTAATTTGTGGCTGGTTTTTGATGTGATAATTTGTTTCGTGTGTTATGTCAGTTGTTTATCTAACCACTGAGTTGGTTTTAACTAGTTACATGTTTTTATTTGCATTTCTATTTAAGAACAACAATTTCTCAGTACACTAAATTCTGTATCTATGCAGTAGAAAAGTACTTGAAAACGTCATGTAAAAGATCTATCTGTATGGAAAAATGGAACGTTAGTTTCCAGATCTTAAAAACATGCCAAGACAAACCTAGTTGTAGAAGTAACCACTGATGATATGCCACTCCAAGGCCAAGGTCAGAATGGTCTTTGTCTGCCATTATCTGTCCCAATCACACTTCATTAGATGTGAATGATCTTCCAGAAATAAGTCATCCTCATTGGGATCAGAAGTTAATATGTAACTAATTGTGTTTAATTAAAGCATGTGACAATTTTCTTAAATAAGCAAACCATTGTTAATCTTGTGGAGTGTATTGTTACAAATATCATCACAAGCAAGAGTGAACTTAACCTTGGGTTCCTTTTTAAATAATCATGTAATAGTTTTATCAATAAGTTAGTAATATGTAAAGATTGGGTGATTCATAGAGCCAAAAAGAAATTTATTTATTCTCTTGTGTGAGATATGGCAATACTTGATGATCATAACTATTCTGCATTTTTTAGATTTTTCTTTCTAAAGTTACCAAAATTAACATATTTGACAACTTCAAGTCATAAGGCATTTTTGACTTAAAATAAATGTGATTATTTTCGTATGTTTGTGTACCTCTCTGTGGCTACCCCTTATGTCTATATTATCCTAGCAGAAGTGTGAGAATTCTGCTTTCTAACTTCATTGTATGGGTGTTTCACCAATAAAACTTTGTATTTGCTCACATGCAATTCCATAACAAGCCTGAAAATCAAGAAAATATTTTTCAATGACAAAGTACATATTAACTTTAATATTGAATGATAAAAATAACTGATATGAACTCATTACACAGCTATAAGTTCTGTAAATATTAATACAAAGATATATAATGATGATTTGCTTCAGTCACTGATAAATTTTGTAGACAAATTTTAATTTTCTGAATTAATTGAATTTTTTTTATTGCTTATAGTTTGAGATGTCATTTTATTAATAAGATATTTAATTAATTCAAGGTTTATCAAGTTATCCCATTGACATAAATATGGAGCCCACATTTGTATTATGGGCCGGATACAAGGTATGATCGCATTATATTTTTCTTAGCCTAATCCAAACTAAATCTGGTGTTTAAAGTTTTGATCAAATGTTTTTAAATGATTCTAAAATTGTCCCTAAGTTAAAAAAAAAGTTTTTGAAAGAGCAGAGATTTTACATGATTACTGAATAAATTTATTCATTAGATATCCCTAATTGTTTTCCTATTAAAAAAATCAATCTTCTGACATTCCATTTTAATTTTTTCAGAATAATTAATATGATGATTTATTTTGGCTAGAGTTCAGAAATACTGTTGAAATTAATAAATTCTGAAAATATATAATTTACATTATTTTAATTTTTTCATAAATGGTTGATTTTTCATAAGAATATTTTTTTTTAGGAATGTTTTTATGCCTCAAGAATGTTGCAATGGTAAGTTTTTAAATCTTTGTGTGTGTGTATATTTTTAATGTAAATGATGAATAACTTAGGACACCTCTGAAAACAGAATGATAGATGGATCTTTTTTTACTGATATGTTTATTGTAAATTTAAATATGTTAACTTAAATTACTGCTTTTTAACAATTGTTATTTTTTTCATGTTAGTCCACAAGGATTTTGATAAGCACTTCAGAATAATAAATGGTAAATTTGCTGAAACCAGAAATACAAAATGCCTGTAATAAAAGTCCAAAGTACGAAGGAGAATAAATCAACATAAAACGGGAAAACTGATATCATTTTTATTGCAACAAGATATTGTCATGGTAATTGTTTTTCTGTATTTGTTTCTTAAAAAACTTAGCATAAAGCTTAGTTCACACTGATCACAATTTGCTGGCAAAAGTGAAAAACAGAGCAAATAACACATCAGACATGACATCATTTCCAGCAAAATTTACCATTTCACAGTTGCTTCTTAGTTCAGAGCTGTTGAGCTTCTTTCCTAGTAAAAAAAATTTTGTCACCAATCATATTCCCATTAGTTGCCATGTGGTTCTTGCTTTCAAGATGGTTACAGAAACTCTTGCACAATAGAGTAGAGTAAATGTTCTAATTACAGACTTAATATTCCTCTCACCCAGCATCGTTTTATTTTTGACATATCTATCTTTCTCAATAAATAAACAAACATGGTTAATGACAATATCAGAAGCAGCCATTTTATTTTTTTCAGATGACGTTTTCTCTTGCTTGCAAATGATTGGTTCCTTGAAATTCACAATCGCTTTTCTCATTTGCTTTTGCTATTTACTCAGTGTGAACTAACCTTAATTATAATTACTGTAAAATCTCTGAATTAATTTTTTTTATGTAATATGTATAAGTTTTCTTTCCTTTAATTTTCTCTGCATATCAAGTTTTAAAGTCCAAAAAAATATGAGATTTTTAATACAGTTTTAAATTTTCCAGGAAACATAAGCAACTAAACAAAATTTCTATTAAAATTTTAGAATCTAAATAGTTAGATTTTTTACAAAAATTTTTTGAGAAGGAGCATTCAGAAGATTTTATCATGGGTATAGGACCATAAGTGCACAAAATACTATATGGTCTCAAATTTTTGATTGGTCAATGTTCAAAATCCATTTTCTGAAAATTATTGTTTCACTGTTAAGCTATTTATAGTTCCGTATCCATGAAATAAATAATTAGCAAGATTATGGTATATGTAAAGAAAATTATTGTTTAATTTAATTAGACTGTTGTTTATTTTATATCTTAAAATTCATTAGGTGAACAAATTCATCAAAGCTAGAAAGAGTGGGGAAACAGTTCTGTGGGACAAATAAAGGTATAGAATATTTTAATTAACTTTTATTTGTTTTGTGAATGATGATTAATACTTTTTGACACCTCTTGAATGAATGATTTGATTAAATTTAATTGCTGAGTTGGTTATAAGATGTGAATTTTATAATGGCATTTTTATGGTAATTTATTTACATGTTCATCATTCTCTTTTCAGATGAAAGAACAGTGTAATCTGTAACAGGATTTTGTGAGGTCACAGATATGCCCATAATATCAGGATATCCAAACAGTTCTGAATTGTAATTGGGTGTGTTTGGTACAGAGACAAACTCCACAGTTACTAAATAATTGTCCTGATTTATTGTAACTTAAAAATAAGCTTACAGCTACAACTGTCGACAATATCAGATCTTCCAATTTGTTTTTCTCTGAAAGTGCGAATGTCCTGCTAGAACTATCTTTCTGGATCTCTTGGGAAGTCTGCGGTCCTGGGCGTTGATTGGAGAAAATCTATTGGGGGGGACAGGGTAATCTGGTTTAATGTCATGATGTAGAGATTTTTAACTGAGGATGGTTCTGTGCAATAGGAAGGCAGGGAATAGAAGCTCCCTGTGGTCTTGATACATATTTTTATAATTTTTCGGTTACCAGATTGAACACTTTGATTGGTCTTTTAACATTAATAGTTTTATAAAATTATTTTATAAATTGCCTTTTACATTTTTGTGTGGTTCAACTACACTTCCAGAGCTTCACAATTGGACAATGTTTAGCGACCTAACTTTAGTATAAATGTATCGGATATTTTCTATAAATAAATAAATTTTGTTGTAATATGATTTTTGTATATTAATATTTCTTTTGTGAACACGATATGAAACACATTTTCATATAACATTATTCTTTAATCTAGGAGTGGTGACGTGTACTGTACAGTACCTGAAAGTTACTAATGATAATTATTCAGACTGGAAGAGTTCAGGGAATGTTCACTACCGCATCATAGTATTTCATGTTGATCTGGCATAATAATATGCCTATTAGACTTCAAAACCTTTCGACCTAATTCACGTTTTGGGTATTTCTAGACCCAAGTTTCATTTGCCTCGCAATAAAGCACATATGAATTATAAGTGATTAATCTAATCAAATTAAAAAAACAGCTATATGTTCTAATACATTTGTCAAGTGTGTCAACACCTCCTCCGGAGATTATTCATTACTATAATTCAACCATCATCTCACTTAATATACTTCATAGTTACTACTATAGTCAGGATTACAATTCCTCAAATCAAAATAATAATCACAAGGGAGCAACAATCATCGCGCAGCATCGGATTACTGAATTTTTGTCAAAGTATTCACAAACCGTAGGGAATAAGAGTAAAAAATTAATATTTGTCTATAATATGAGCTGGGGACAAGGTGTGACCATCTGCATGGGACTTAATGATTTAAAATTATATATTTTACTCTGAAAGATTAAACGAGGTGCAATAAGCGTATTCTTGCCCTGTTTTTAGTCAATAAAATTCCATCAAATATTCGTGAAAAATTCCAAGAGGTCCTAGCCGAATAAGTGAAAAGTGCCTTCGAACCGGATAATCCCTAAAGAAAAACATGATTTCTCGCAATATTTCATTTATGAGCATTTGGACAGGATTTCTAAATACTATCATGTAATTAAGAGTCGGGGAAGTTGAAATTAACATAAATCGGTGTCCGGGGATTATGAAAAACTTCGACTTGAAGAAAATAGAAGTTTTACTATATATACAAAGTGATACGTCAGGTCATTAAACAGCACGTTAGTTGATGCTAATTACATAATTTAGCCACAACTAAGGAGAAATTCTATAGAACTTTCCCAAGCTTTTTTTGTGCTATGCCCCACTTAAGCCTTTCTAAAATTCTTATGCCCCCCTAACACAGCCAGTTTTTGGCCTCTGCTCTGAGCGGTAAGGGGCCTAAAACCACAAAAAAAAAAAAACAGCCAGTGCCGTTACTAGCCATTCCTGTGCAAGAAGTTGCATTTAGGTCCCCCTTCCAAGTGGGCCCCGTGCGGGTGCATCTGTTGCACCTGTCTAGTTACGGCACTGCATACAGCGGCTATACAGTTAACTTAAACTATGGACAAGTCCATTTTCGAATTGGCCCACGTTGGGAAACACTGCTATAGAATATATCGTAAATTTTAGGTCGTGCTCGAAATTCTTGATCTAGATTGTCAACTAAAGCTCGTTGGCCATCAGATTTACGTCAATCGAAACTGATCGCACTGCAATTTTAGATTGTACGGCACTTATTGCCATGCTTTACATCTAATTAATTCATTGCGAGAGTAAGAATGAGTGACAGAATTAGACAATACTTTCATATTTGTGGTAAATGAAAGGTATGAGATAAAGGAATATTGCTGCTATCTTCGAAGGTTTTCATTTCTATATTGCGAACTTACGTAATTGAGATTAACAAAAAAAAAAAAAACATTACAAATTTTAGAAAATGCATCGTATATCAATCATAATTTTTAAAATCGTGTTTTCGAGCACATGGTTTGTGATTATTAAAAGGAAAAAGTTGCGTACTGTTGAACATACAGTCTATTTATTATAGTACCGCATGAGTTAGTTGGAAGTTAATATTTAACTTTCTTAGTCTATTCCGATTATTCTATACTACTATAGTTACGAGACCCATAAAAACAAGATAATAAAATGTATGTTAATTAATTATCTGAAAACTATTGTTCAAAAATGGCTAATAAAATTTGAAATGTTCAAAACAAGTTGGAAACTCAGTCAAAAATCGATAAGCAAGAAATAAAAGTGTAAAATATATATATATATAAATGTATATGAAAAAATTAAAAATATATTATTGATAAAACCATATAATATAGTACTTATAGTACTATCGAGGCCGAAGTTATCAACGCAACATCGAGTAGGAATGGCTTTGTCAAGCAAGGGCTGCAGAAACATTACCACTCGAAGCTCTTCTCAATTCTTCGATCTCAAATTTCTCATAAATTCCATCATGCTTGAAGGGAGAATTTCTAGTAAGTGATAATTTATAGTGTTTAAAATTTAAATGAAGTAGCCTTGTTAAAAAAGAAGTATACAAATTTTACCGCAGTTGCAATAATAGTCTTGTTTATATTAGAGAAACAGGCAGAAAATTGAAAACTAGAATTGCAGAACATGGGAGAACCATTAAACATAATTACCGTAACGCAACAGTTGCGAGACACTGCAACGACATGACTCAGATTAAGTTAAATACTATTTTAAAAAAAAAGGAGTTGTGTTTACGAGACAGTTATCTGAACATATAAATATTAAAGAGCAAATATTAATTTAGGACGCGAATTAGATAAATCCTGGTATAAGTATTTAAAAATTACACAAACGGAAATGACGTAATATATGATACTATACCAAAATAACTACAAGTCGACCCCCCTATAACACTGTTGATTATTCCGTTTTATATGAATTTCGTGTTGTACGAGTTACTTAGATTTTACAAATACGTGAGCCGTTCACAGCCCGGCACACGTATTTGTAAAATCTAAGTAACTCGTACAACACAAAATTCATATAAAACGGAATAATCAACAGTGTTATAGGGGGGTCGACTTGTATCAATAAAGTGGTAAACAAAGTGTGATGAGTGTTTTTACGGGTCTCGTAACTTGAGTAGAGTAATTGAAGTTACGAACTTTCAATTTTGATTACACCAAGAAAGTATTTTCATTTAAACTAATGTATTTATTTAAAATCTGGATACAGAAAAATCTAACAAAATTATTTTTTCTCTCTTCTTTTTTGTGATCTTTTCGAATTGAAGGATTCACTTGATGTTATAATTTCTTTAAGTTACTTTCTATAATAATATTTTTGATATACATAAATGAAGTATTTTGAAATAAAATAATCTTACTTCTATAAATAAATTTATACATATTAAAATTTTACATTGCTTTGTTGTTAGTAGGCTAGAAAAGCCGATTATACATGAAAATTTCCCGACAACCTATCTAATTCAGTTTAGTTGTAAGTTGTAACTACTGATGTTGAGATAAATCATTTGATATATGATAATATTAGGCATTAAGGCCAAACTAATCTGGCTCAACCAGACAAAACAGATAGGAATTCGAATCGGAACAATCGCCATCGGGATCCAAATTGTCATCAATTTGATCTCTTGCATATAAAATGGTGGTATAGACTTTGAATAATAATTTTTCTAATTGGAAGGCGTAGGTGATTTAGTTTGTACCTCATACGCTGCCAGGCGAGAGGGTACAGAACCAGTAGATGACGACGATTGACTTCGTCCCAATAATGTGTGATTATTATCGTATTTTGTACTCAGATGCCACGGAATTTTGTTTTTGCAGTTAAAATTAGCCGAAGAAACAGTATTAGACTCCATTAGTGCTTGTTGCCCTAACCAGTTGATAAGTCTTTCTTTTCGAGCTTGAGAATCTTGTTCTTCACACGCGGAATCTTGATATAGAGAGATACATCTACATGCCTCTCTAACAGATATTACGCAGCAAGCGACGGAAAAAAGACAATCTAATGTGGCTACCACCACTAAGATTCCGTTTAAAATAACTGCAGGACCTTTTAGATTTACTTCACCGAAAGTAGATAGTTTGTTACCTTCATTATCCACAAAATAACTGCTGGGACTATTTAAGTCATTCACTAGTCCAGTGGCAGAAAAAACGATTACCATACCGGTAGCAGCCATACTCAATATGGACAAACAGAGAAAAGATACGACGTGTACCGAACTAGAAGGTCGTTTGGCTGCGATGATAGCAAAAATTCCGGTCACCAGCACTACCATGCCACTCCACATGCCTCCTCCCAGTAAAGATAGCGATGCTTCTACAACGATTGCGATAGAACCAAAGATAAATAGTAAAATGGACATTAGAATTTTTGCCATTCCTAAACCAGTGGCCAACTGTCGAGGGAAATATCTGCCGCGCTCTTCCATTTCTAAAGATCGTTCAAATCTTGTAGGAGAAGTGGATGAAACGCTAAAAGGACCATATGAATTATCTTGTAACACTTCTTTATTTTTTTCCATCGTGATACAATGAATCGAAATGATCCGGACTACCCTGCAACATACAAAATTTTTAAAGTTTAGGATATTAAAATTTTTTGGAATAAAAGCTATTGTAAATATAAAATCAAACTCCGTAGTGATAATTAAATTTTAATACTAGATTTAACATAAAGTTGACCATTCGTTTGGCTTTCGAGAAGTAGGTATTAGTGTGAAATACATTTTTAATTCAAAATACAGTCGGTAAAGGCGGATGCATGCATGCAGCGCATCGAGAAAAATGATAAGTTTGATTCATTGCAAGTGAACTTGATTGAAAATTCGAAAATGATCTCGATGTAGAAAACTTAATCCATGTTTATAAACTATTTCTTAATTCCTTAAGTTATTTTCTTTTCTTATCGAATAATAATACGGCATTGACATGGGCGTAGCGAGGGGGGAGCCTGGGTGGGCACGGCCCCTCCCAGGGAACCTGGTGCCCTCCCCAGGAAATCACAGCCGAAAAAGTGTTGAGTCGATTTGTAAAAACCTAAAGCTAAAATAAAAGTTTTGAATACTAAAAAAAGGTGAACGGCTTGCTCGGTGCCCAATAATGAACAATAATTTGAAATAATTCAATTTTGTGTCAGGTTGGCCTCCACTAGGCCCCCCCATAACAAAACTCTGGCTACGCCCATGGGCATTGAAACGAGCATGGAAACCGTCTTCATCCGTCTTGGATATCTAAGTCACTTTTTACTCATGCGCAAATAAAATGAATGAGCGGCATACCACAAGTATGGCTGCTCTTTCACAGGCGGCATTGCGATTTCTGTTGCTGCTTTTTACTTCCACACATCATGCGTGCATCCGCCTTAAGGAGTCTGGTGCCGTGGGTCTTTAACGACTCTCTAAACTAAATAGAAGAATAAGATGATAATATTCTTCTATTTAGTTTGGACAGATAAATACAGTACATATATTTTTTTAAAATAAAACATTATTTATATATTAGAGTCGCTTATATTTTCAATTTTTACATCTTATCATAAGAAACCTTTATGTAATCACGCTGTTGCTCTGATAAATAAATGTTTAAAATTTTTCACGTATCCTTTTATCTTTGGAATCGTTATTTAGGTATTCGCCACAGTGTTATATCCAAAACTTTGTTGGGCAGATTATAGTACCGCTATTATTTTAGTCCATCTATAAACTTTAAAGTTCTCCAAATAATATTTCGCTTCTTCAATTGATTTTGAATAAATTTTGAAATTATAAATTTCACTGCTTTCATCTTAAACTATAATTATTACAAGATTAACAAGTTATATAATGAAAAACTAAATTGCATTAGTATAAACTCACGTTTGTATTTTGATACCGAAATGATAAATAAATGGTGTATTTTCACCAAAACTTTGATAACTCGCATCTTGCAAACAGCTTGAAAATTTTCGATTTTTATAAATTTAAAATAATAGAACAGTAAGTGCAATGGGGTTTAAAATAATTTCAACACAGTTTGATAATTAGATCAGTAAATCTCAAAATCAAGACAATTGTGGTCTTAAAAGACCAATGCCTGATTTATAGATATTTAGTCTCCATGTTGGAGATCGGATGGCCGAGGCTATTGCTTGATCGATCCAGGCAATCAACACAATCCCAGAAATTTTTGCATAAGCGGTTTGCACATGTTATACCTCTCTCTCTGCTTTAAGCGGCCGGATGGCAGCTTACCGCTCTGGGGGACCCGGGATCGAAAAATCCCCAGGAATTTTTCGGGGGTGGTCCGTCCGGATATGTCGGGCCCCGTTCCTCACCACCCGACTGCTCCATTGTGAGCCTGGCCGAACCCACAATGGGCTTGCTAAAAGAGGTCCTCTTAGTGCCACAAGTTAGGAAAGAATTAAAAAAAAAAAAACCCTCTCTCTGCGGGCTTGGCCGAACCCACGATGTGTAGTCTATGGTTAAAACAACTAGGACAGAAAAAAAGAGGGAAAATTAAGCAATATTACAAAATACTTAATATTAAAAAGACATTCAATAAATTTACGAAGAATTATACATATATAATTATTTTATATCATCGTCGTCATTGCTGTGAATTTTGATCATTTTAAACTCTCGTTTCATTAATACTAATGTCTTTTGATGTAGGAGTAAACACATTAAAGCGTATACAAAATTATTATAATGAGATTTATAGAAGATTTGGCATAAATTTTTAATCGTTTATTTGTTTATCAGAGCAAACAAATATCTGTAGACAATTACACTATTGAACTATCAAAGAAAAGTGCACTGACACACTTTCACGCCACAAAAGACGTTTTAAGGTAAATAAACCATCGAAGAAACGCGTTAAACTTCTTTTTTGTTTACAACTCTAATAAATTACTTTTTAAAGGCACATTTTTTTTGTGATTTTTACAACACAAGACATTTGCTCTTCTCTTTGTGTGAAATTGGACGGAAGAAAAAAGATAATTATAAACTAAAATTGTCTGTCCAGATTGACCCCGGCAACATCTAAAATTGTCTCACAAGTTAAACTTTTCATCCGTCATTAAACAGGTAACGGAGGTTAAAAATCTTCCATTCTAAAGGAAACTATAATGTTATGAAATAAAAATAGAGTTGCAGATATTATAAATAACAGTTTAGTTTACATTTTTACATTAATAATATTATTTATAGAATTTACAAATGAATAGATCAGACGTTCTGTTGGAAGATATGGGCGATTATATCTGTACGGCTTACAACTATGTAGAATCCATCAGAAAATCGACGCCATTAAGGATACTACTTAATATAATTTTTATTATAAATTTATTCCGTTACTTATCTGTCGATGAGGAAGTCAAGCAACCTTTCGACTCATCAATACCAGAAATGTTAACCCACTATTCTACTTAGAGGTTAGTTGTAAATAACACACTCTTTTACTTAAAGTGTATTAACCGGACAATCGGAAACGTTACTGCATAATCCCATTAAAAATATTTTAAAAATTCTTAATTCTATAATTCCGTTAATTAAAAATTTCGTGTAAAACCTTAAATATCAGAAGGTCGAATGTTGAACCTTTCATATGTTAAGGCCACCTTATAATGTAAAATTACATTATTTTTAATACAATAATGAGTTTTTATGTAAAACCCTATAACCCCCTATAACACTGTTGATTATTCCGTTTTATATGAATTCCATGTTGTACGAGTCACTTAGATTTTACAAATACGTATGCCAGGTTGTGAACGGCTCACGTATTTGTAAAATCTAAGTGACTCGTACAACATGGAATTCGTATAAAACGGAATAATCAACAGTGTTATAGGGGGNATATATATTATATTATAGTATAGAATTTAAGTTTATTGCATTTTATGATAATATTTCTAATTTATTGCATATTAAAACATTAACATTCATTTTATTAATTAAGAAATAAGACCTATATATTTCTAAATGAGAATAATAATAAACGTCTTATTAAAAATAAGAACATATATTGTGTATTACCTACAGGTGGTCTACAATTCTTCTTAACAACACCAAAGTTTCGATAACTCAAAACGTGCATTAGAGATAATATATATAAGTTATATTCATAATATTCAAAACTGAAATAGTAAACTTAATAATTAATTTTTATCCTTCTTTTTGTAATAGTTTAAATTATTCTGTAATTTTGATCCGAGAGATCGTTGCACCCGCCACTCCCACTCGGTATTAATCCCAATTATGTATACACTTACCGATGGAAAAGAACTTGCGCATCATCTTCGTCAAGGCCAGTAAATGTAGAGATAAACTTGGCATCTTCTTCCACTTAAGGTTAGCGGACCAGTGGGTCGACCTTGCCCATTGAGCGTGCGCAGAAGCTGGTTCTGCTTTGATGGATCCACTTAGCCTATATTTCTATAGAGAAGATAGAAAAGATTCTCGTATATTCCGTCTAGAATTGAAAATCATTTAAAATGTTTTGTTCGGATCTCTTCATCCAAAAATTCTTAAAGTTTAAATTAAAAAACTTAAGAAAAGAAATTGAATAGAATAAATACATTTTTTTAAGTTATTAAATACAATATGTAAATGATTCTATATTTTTATATTTAAAGTCGGGGAATTGTTTAGTGTTTGTTTCCGTTCGTATTGAAATTTCGTTCTACCGACTGACATACATTTTTAAATCACTAAGTCCGAGTTTTTTCTTAAGTATTTGTCCTACATAAGTCTTATTACTTCCTGATAATCCAGATCATATCTGTTTTGAAGAGGAGGAGGCGGATATTTTCAAATGCAAATCCTTCAATTAAAAAGATATTAATACTAAAAAAAGTTATATATATATATATAAAGCGAGCATTTCCGGATAAAATTCGGATGTATCCTAAATTGTGTCTGGGTCAATTAATTCAATAATAATTGGTTAAATAAATATGTTAGGAGTCTATATATTCTTTATAGAATAGCTCAAGAATTCCTATAAAATTTTAATAAATTTAAAAACTAAAAGAAAGACGATAATAAAATAATATTTAAATTTTTATTTTAAACAATACGATATTTTTCATACTTACAATTAATATTCATTCGATACAGATTTTCATAGTAGCTTTATGTCCTATTTACGATTCGTCCGTGACCAATTATTAGCCTATACAAATGGTGGTCAGCATCAACCCGTATACTTCTAGCTCTGATTGCTTAATACGTCTGTAATATTTGTGATACTCCTCTTAAAAATTCGTCAACTTTCCGAGAAAATAAGAAAGTTCTAACTGTATATATATACGCAAACGTGTCTTTTTATTCGAATCTAAACTGTACTTTCCCCATTTCAATTCAACCATGTCCGATTGTTTTTCCTTTAACATTTAAACATCAACTGGTTCCTCTTTCTGCGTATAGCCTTAATGGGATCTTTAAAATACAATTTACTTTGAGATTCGATTATTCCAGTTAAATTGTTTTAATACGACTATTATATAAGCTACGTATACGATATATATATATAAAAGACGTATTTTAAAAAGAGGAAAAACAGTTTTTATGCAATACAGTTACGCTTCAATTATATAACAATCAATGGGGATTAGTTTCGAAGTCCTGGTTTTTTATAATAGACAAATAAAAACTAATAAATAAACCTTTTATTATTTTAATAAAATCTAAGTGACTCGTACAACATGGAATTCATATAAAACGGAATTATCAATAGTGTTATAGGGGGGATCGACTGTACAACATATAAAATTTATAAAGGAAAAGTAATTTTTATCATTTAAGATGAATTATATGCAGTGGCGTATCCGGGATTTTCAGAATATGGGTGATGCTCGAGGCAGATTCGGGGAGTAAACCAAGGCACGTGTTCTCTGTCATTTTCGGTGGTTGTTACGTATTTATTTTACAATTATTCCTTAATTAAAGTGGCGGGATATGCGTTATTACTTTTACTTTTCTTTTAAAGTAATAAAACTTTTTCCTTTGGTTTTAAGAGGATGCAGCATTGCCATAAGCACCCCTAGATATGTCACTGTAAAGGAAATGATTTTTAATATAATTTTGTTAGATTGTATGCCTAAAAGACAAACAAATCTGTATAAAATTTCAAACAGAAAATTATAATTTTTTTACACGTTTATGTAAGTAGGCTAATTCGATCTAAAAACTATTCAATAATTCAAGTAAAGTATAGGTCAGTTGGTAATTAAGTGGCCGAATGAGAAGAGGTTCTACACAATAATAAGGAAGTTTGAAATGTTTCCTTATGTAGAAAATATTCTTGATTTCCTAAATATTATTTCCAGTTTTTCTTGATATTTAATAGGATAAAAATAATATCCGAAATCCACAAATTGAAAACATCTTCCGTGATTTTTATGAAATAATTTGATGGATCTCTGCGGCAATGTTATAAACCGGTTATAATGTAAAAAAAAATAGTAATTTGTTGCTTCTACTAAAAGATAACAAATCAATTAATATAAAAAGTAGTTATTTTGGTTAATTAAAATATGTGATATAAGTCACGTGATAAAAATAAATGATGACTCAGAAAAGCAGCAAATATTAAATCACGTGATCGCACTGTAAACATACGATTTATAATTATCTACTATTTTTATAATTTTATAAATATTACGTTATTGATTAATAAATTACAATTTAAAGTGATTCTTTACAAATAAAAAAAAACAAAAAAAAAATTAAAATTTTTCAGTGCGCTCTCTGTTGTCAATCTTAGTAACTAACATAATTTAAAATGTCATTTACCGTGTGGGTTACGAGATGCGAAACAAATCATGACATACTTTAAATTCAAAATAAAATTGCAAGATTTTATTTAGGATAATGAAGCTCCATTTTTTTGTTATTTTGGGTATATATATACATACTTTTACTATTGATAAATTTATTTCAAAAGTTGGGGATGGTAAAAGTACCTTTACCTGTAGCAGAAGTTACAGGTAAAGGTAACTTCTACCTGTAGCTTATTCTATAAGTTACCTTTAGATCATTTATATATTTATGTATGGTTTTTATATACTGTATGTATATGTATTAAGTATCTAAAAGTAGCTTTTTCTACCATTTTTATATTTATATGTTATTATATACTATTTATATGTTAAATGCTAAACTAAATGATGGTGAATTTGATGTTGATATTTGCATTAAGGTTAAATGGGATAAGTTGGCTTCTGCTAAATATGTCTGCTATTAATCTTACTATCTTTGACTGTATTTTATTTTAATGTACTAAATTAGAATACGTATGTATTCATGTATTCTATGGAACTTCCTGAGTTTTTTTAGATGACGTACATTTAATTTTAAAGATTACGTCGACAATACTCGTAGTATTATGTACGTCTTATTATGTCGACAATATTCGAGTCTTTATTTATATAATATGTATTTAAAGTGTTATGTATGAATTTGCTGTATATTTTTTGGATCTTGCAGCTCTCGTAGAGACGATATAATACTTATTTTTCAGGAATTGTTAGTCTTTTACTGCGATCGGGATTCGATTGAGCCGACTGTGGCATTCGGGGGTTGGAGAAATTTTTGACGGGCTGGAAGGTTAGTGGGTTTGTCCTTTTAAATTTTCTGTGAGAAAGTTGTTTGGTGTGTTGGCAGACAAATCAAATGATGGAACATATTTAAAATCTATGTAAACTGAGTGAATAAGCATTTTATGGGTTGTTTTATTGAAAAATTCTTTGGTGTCAATTTATTGTATGTACATACGTAATATCCTCACGCTCGTAACCCAAAAAGGGTGAGCGGCGGACAAAAGGAGACTACAATCTTATAAACTATCCATTCGGGAACTTTCTCCACACTTTCCCGTCCAGACGTACCTCCTTTGCTTCAGACTCAATTTATTGTTCCTGAAGATGTTTAAAATTATTATTAAAATAATGCTAGCTTATTGAAATAGTAAATAACTACCAGATGTATACAATAGATTAAAAGTAGTAATAAACAAATCAGTCTGTCCATAAATTATATAATGCAGATATGGAGGATGGGCATGCATTGTTATAATGACTTACAAGAGATGGGGTATTTACAAAACATTATATAACCTAGGGTCTTTAAATCAACTGTTGTTGTTTGTTAAATATGTAGGGATTAATTAAGCTACCTGTAGTTTTTTGCCAAATGGCAATCCTGTGCTATATATTATTCCTTGGTACAATTAAGGGTTGATTAAGATAAAGTTATGTAGTTTTGGTTTGAGGGGAATTATTTTTTGCTTGCCCTTGCTGCTTGGTAGGATAGAAATGATTATTGTATTTCATAAAATTAACAATTTAGTAAATATGGAATTATTTTTATTTTTGAGTTATTATATGTTTCTAATATATTTAACTTTACTGTTGAATTTATTATATCAAATAAAAATGTGTCAGGATTTTTTCTTAAATTTTCTAATGTTATATATATGTGTATGTACTGTACTATACATACAAACTTACTTTGCTAAAATGGTGGGTTATGTTCCAGACCATTGCCTTAAGGCAAAATACAGGCTTTTTCTAATTGCCTCTGCATAAAAAAATCTAAAAACATTTACTGGAAGGCCTAGTCTATCACTTATTAAGTTTGCAATAGTGTTAAGTCTAAAAAATGATGCAAAAATAAAAAATTCTCAAAAATCCTCTAAAGAACAAGACAAGCTCTAAAAATAATATAATTAAAAAGCACCATATTAGCAAAGCACTGTAACACAAAGCACCCTTAAAGTAAAGTATTCCTGTATATATATATATATATACAAAAATATTCAAATATTGATATGCAGTATATTTTTTATATTGTTAGTGATACAGATTATATTAGCCAATAAAATTCCGATAAAAATTGTTCAAGAACCAGCAACTTATGGGTAAGTTTATTTGATATAAATTATTTTTTTTTTAAATTAATACATTTAATGATTTTCTTTTCATTGCTGATTTTATATAAACTTTTCTCCATTAATTATGAAATCATGTTTGTTGTTATTTTAGAAATGTGATAAGAGCATCATTCCAAATTATCTGTTCTACAGTTATAATTGGTATAATTGGTATTTACATTCAAATATAAAGAAATTTCTATGCGGAACTGTTTGTAATTCTTTAGTTACAACCTATTTTTCTTTATATTATTTTAAACCTTTCATCATTAGTGTAATAATTATTTTGTTGTGAAGAGAACATCATAAAACATTGCTCCAAATTACAAATATCGATATGAAGTAAATGCTGTTATGTTAGTACATTGTAATTTAATGTGATAAAAAATTTTATTATTTTTTTAATACATTATAATTATCGTAATAATATAAACCAAAATAAAAAGAATATAAAACTATAATATTTTTTGTTATTTATATTTGCTGTTGTTTAAACATTTTTGTCATATTTAAATTTATAAAATATATAATTTATCAAATTTGTATCACTCTTCAACTAAATTTTTGATTAACTGAATTAATTTAAATCAATGACTTTTTTTTATTTTCCTTGTTTTTCTGTATCAGTAAATAACATTATGTAAAAATTTAAATTTATACTCACTTTACATTTGTTTCACATTATTAAAAATTATATAATACATGAATATATGTTTACATTCTAAAAACAAAACAATAATCATCAAATCATACATGTATTTTCTCTAAACCAATGATGCTGTCATGATCAGTTACCTAAAATAGTGAGCTCTTAAAACTTTATAAAATTTTAATAGTTGTAATATTATGTTACAGAAATTTATTAATGCATAAAAATATTTTTACATAACACTTAACATTTAGCAATTAACATTTATCTATTGTAAGGATAAACATATACAACTTAATAATGATATGCTTAATGATTCATTTTTTTATAATACAGACAAGTAATTTAAGATTATAAAGTATTTAATGTGTATTAAAGCAAAAAAAAGAATTAAGTTATTGTCCTTTATCAAGAAAATTGTTATAATATTTAATATTTATTCAGTCCTGTTGTGGTGATATTGGACCTTTTCATCTTCCCTCTCTGGGGGGGGGTTTCGTCAGGGGCAGATGTGATCCATCCATCGACACGCTAACGAAGAGCCGTTAAGACTGGGGAAGAAGAAATTTTTGAAAGAGGAATTCGGGACACGAGAGGGAGAGGGTGTGTGAAGTAGCAGTCCCTGAGAGTGAAATAAAGTTTTTTTTTTGTGGAAATATTGGATTGGTTAATTGGTGAAACGAACCGATGGGGCAGAATTCGCTGATTAAAGATGGGTTCCCTACACCTGTAAAAGATACAATTTCATTTTTTCCTAATGACAGTTATTAAGAATTCAATAAACTGCTTTGTTAAAAATGTTGGAGATTATAAAATACAGGTAACCCCCGTATAACACAGGAGTTATGTTCCAAAAAATTGCCGTGTTATACGAAACAAAGAACTAGTGCGAAAAGGTGGGTTAGGTTCCAAAAATTAAAAAAACATGCTGTTAAATCTTTATTTAAACTGGATTTATTATTCATTTTTTTCATAGGTAAAATACTTATTTATTATTTAAGTAAATATTTTACCAGAGAATTATTCATCCTATATGATGATTTCAGCATGAGCATCATCAACTGGTAACAGTTTTTGGGTGTGTTTGTTAATAGCAGTCAATCTGCAATGGGAATGTGCTGCTGTTTATAGGCATTTAGGAACAACGGTAAAAGAAAGATGGCGGCACCTGCACTATTGATAGTATCGTGATGGAGGAATCTATAATTATAAAATGAGCTTTTAGAGGCAAAAGAAGGGTCCCAATTGTAAAATTTAACCATTAAATGGATTATTTGTTGAAAGAGCATTCAAAGTAGTCATGAAAACAATTAGAATGCTTGCACGGAGTTACGCAGAGGTATAAAAGAATGCACCCTTTATTATATTTCATGTTGTATGAGGGTTTTACCCAATTCCCAAACCATTTTAGAGTGAACCGGTGCTATAAAAGCACCGTATTATACAGGGATGTTCCCAATTCTCGAACCATGTTAGAGTGAATCCGTGCTATAGAAGTGCCATGTTATACGGGGGGGTTACCTGTACTTTGAATAATAATAATACACAGCCTATCCCGGAGGTGGCAAACCTACAGCATGTTGGACGAAATTATCTGAGATGTTCATATCATACAATTTCAATTTATCACTTTTTTTTTTTTCAGTTATCCTTTCAGTTTATCACTTGATAATCCTTTTGTTCAATTAGTTTCTTTACATTTATTCTAATTAAAGCATTTTTTCTTTAAATAAAGTTACTCCAAGTGTAAACCTTTGGTGCACATAAATATTTTAAAATATATTTGCTTACTATATGGCATGTGGATTCAAAAAGGTTTGCCATCCCTAGCCTATGCCAAAATTTTCTGGATTGATTTAATTACTACTTAGTTGTCTCCATCTGTTGATTTATATCATCGGAATTTTTGAAGTGTTGAATTGAAATTTCTTGTTTAATGACAAGAATTTTCTTACAATATTGAAATAAGATATTATTCTTGAAATGTCTTATTTCAGCATGCAAAAGTGTTGTTGTTCTTAGTTGACATATTTTTTGCCTTATAAGACTTTTTTGTACCTAAATTTATCTGAAAATTATAATACATCCTATAAACTGAATATGTCTTATACTGTGAAGAATATTTTTTCTCAAAAATTTATGTGAAAAATGTGATGCGTCTTATCAGGTGAAAAATACTACACTCCCTAAAACCTAATTTTTTTATCTTGCAGCTATTTTTCCTTCCAGAAACTAAAATTGCAAATAAAAGTCATGCATTTTGATAATATTAAAGACCTTCAAAAAGCTGTGACCATCTTCTCAGAGATTATCCTTAAAAAGACTTTCTGCAATGCTATGAAATATTATATGATCTTCATATTAAGTATATAAGTAGAATATATTTTGAATACTATATAATAATAATTTAAATTACTTGAAGGTAAGAGTTTCTCAAATTAATCCAGAAAATTTTGGGACATTTTTTATAGTAGTATATTAATATCAAATTATAAATTTTATTCATTCTCTTTCAAAAATGTATAAATTTTCTTATTTATAAGTAGTTGAAACTGTCATAATAGAAGTGAATTAAAAATATGTAGTCCAGCAAAGCATCATATTTTATTGAGTTGGATTATTTTACAATGAGGTTTTGTCCCTATATTGAATGTCAAAGTTATATATATATTTTTAATATATAAATAAAATTATTTTTGTAGAATAATGTTATACTTATGTATATTCATTTTATTCAAGATTCTATTAGATATAGAAGTAAAATTCAATATAAAGTAATCAATATGATAATGCTGACAGTCATTTTTGATTTTGAGTTGATGCAACTTATATAAATTCGTTTAACTTCAATGTTTATGCACTGTTTAAATTATTTCAATGTCATTATCATATGATCTAACATTAAGAATAAATATCAATATTCTTATTGAAATGTTTATGTATTGGATATTCTCATAATTCAGAAATTATATTTTATTTATTATGTAGATTCTATGCAAGTAATATAATACAAGGCGAAAATGTCGACCAACTGATTGCCAGAACTAAGCCTTCAAATTTTTCAGGACCATTGCAGTTTAAATCATTAGTTGGGCAGTGTTTCAATTTGACTAATGATCAGTAAGTTTATTGATATCTAAATATTTACTTATTAAAATTTATTGGAAAATGTCCATAGAGATTAAAAAGAAAAATCTTAAGATTTGTATGAATGTAATTATTATAAATTAAAGTAAGATTTTTTATTACCTAGACTTGTTTATGCAGTTTTGGGCATTCTTTTGTTTTGTTGTTGTATTTAAAATTATATAAATATCAAGATTGACTATTAATAGAAAATTCATTAATAATTTTAAATAGGAAATATAGTATATTGAATGTCTACTAACAAAAAGTAACTAGTGATATTCTCTGGCAACATTAAAAACAATGAACAAATGATGTCCACGTGTATTACTATTAGATATATAATTTAGAAAATATGATATGCAGGAAACAATGACAAAGTGATGAAAATTATGTTATTAAACAACTTTTCAAAACAAGTAACTTCAATGCATGTAAATATACCAGAAATATCCAACAAAAATTATACTTACTAAAAATGATCATTATAGAATGTTTTTGATGATTTAAAACTGGTGTTCGACTGGCTTTAACCTGTCATCTTCAGGTTAAAGCCAGTCGAACATCAGCGTGAAAATTCCAATGTCACTTTAAAAGTGCAAAGAGCAATCATTTAATTGGTTGGAAAATGCTGAGGTCAAAAATGACTATTACTTTTAAGTGGGTTAATAAGATTTAATTTATAGTCTTACTTCAAAAATAGATTTCCATGCTTTGGATAATGTATCTGCATCCCTTTATGGTCTTGTCCCAAAAATTAGCTTTGTATATTTTGAAATCTGTAGATGTTTTCAGATAAGTCTAGTTCCTACTAGAATGTATTAATTAATCCTGTTTTATGCTCCCTTTCATTGTTTTCAGATGAAAATGTCACTAACATTGTGGGGGAAAAGCCTTTTGGATAGAATAATGGTGCTCCTTGATACACTTGTAAAGAGATCAAGCTGTTGCTCCTATGTAGACTCATTTCTTGTTGAATTTGTCATCTATAATAGGGATAGAATATACCTCAGATGAATTCTATGTGTTGATAGGGTCCTTGGCATTTTATGATAAAGAGAATACAGTTGGTATCTCATGTAGGAGATACTAAGTTGGTTTGTTCTTGCAATTTACTTATAAACCAAATGACAGCCTTAATTAATTGGGTTATTTTATCTACAATTTGTTTGTATACGCTAGAAAGATTTGGTATCATAACTAATTCTCACTCAAATATTTCTGTTTAAGTTAGTTTAATGTAAAATATGATATTCAGGTTTGAAAGAAATATAATCATCATCATCAATATATACGAGGGCTGTTCGGAAAGTTCGCGGCCTCAAATAGAACAACAAACAAAATAATGTTAAAACTTTTTTATTTTTCAATGTAGTCTCCTTTGTTAACAATGCACTTATTCCAGCGATGTTCTAGCTTTTTTATGCCATCACAATAGGTCGATTTGTCAAGGTGTGCAAAATACTCGTTCATTTCAGAGATGGCTTCGTCATTTGAGTGGAATCTCTTTCCAACCAAGAATTATTTTAAATTTGGAAAAAGTTGGAAGTCACTGGGGGCCAAATCAGGTGAGTACGGTGGATGTGGAACTAATTGGAAGCTAAGTTCGTTTATCTTTTGTTCAGTGATTCTGGCATTATCGTGGTGAAACAGAACCTTCTTCTTCAAGTGTGGCCTCTTTGATTTCTTTCTTCAGTTTTTCCAAAAGTATACAGTAATAGACAGCATTGATGGTCTTTCCTCTTTCTAGGTAGTCAATAAAGATGATTCCTTTAGCATCCCCAAAAAACCGAGGCCATCACTTTCCCCGCTGATGGAACTGTTTTTGCCTTCTTTGGTGGTGGCGAACTGGGGTGTTTCCATTGCTTCGACTGTTCTTTTGTTTCAGGAGTGTAGTAATGGATCCACGTTTCGTCAGTAGTCACAAACCGACGCAAGAAATCCCGTGGGTTTTTCTTGTAGAAGTCCAAACACTTCTTTGACATCAAAGTGCGAACACGTCTTTGCTCAGCGGTCAGCAGATGCGGCACCCAACTTGCTGAGACCTTCGTCATACCCAAATTTTCGGTTAGATGTGGTGCACTCGGTCGACAGAGATGCCTGTTGTCTCAGCTATCTCACGCGTTTTCAAACGGCGATCTGCTAACACCAAATCGTAAACTTTGTCGATATTTTTTTCAGTGACAGCAGTTGACGGCCGTCCGCTGCGAGGGTCATGTTTCACACTCTCTCTGCCAGATTTAAAAAGGGCTGTCCATTTTTTCACAGTGGTGTACGAAGGAGCAGACTCTCCCAAAACTTCATCCATGTCAGCTTTGATTTGAGATGCGGTCAATCCTTTTTTCGTCAAGTATTTTATGACCGCACGAGTCTCCGTCTTCTCCATTTTTGACAAAGCATATGCACATCGACTATCTGCTAAGCTGTCGTGGCAAAACTTTACGACAAATCAAGCGGAAATTGGTATCTTATCTTTAGCAAGAATGACTGAATTATCCCCGCCAAAAATTAAATTGATCGCAGCGCCGCATATAGGCAAGGCCGCGAACTTTTCGAACAGCCCTCGTAGTATTTAAATATTTCCATGGTTCATACAAGATATATTATCATTTAAGTTTTTCCATTTCTTTTATTTTTAAAATAATAATTATGCTATGTTATGTGAGTATACTTTCATTAACATAAAGTTTTTAAATTAGAAGATTAAATCAATAAAGTATAAATTTATCTTCACTGAGAAATTAACATACTTAGCAATTATAAATATACATTTTTATTGTTATTTTCAAAATTTAGATATTTGCACAATTATTAAATAACATTTTTTCTAAAATATAAAGTTATCACTCCAATCATCTACAGGTTTTTATGATTGAAATATAGTCTATTAAATAAAAACAATTGTTTTTCAAAAATTCATACAGCTGCTATTATAAAATATAAAAATGTTTTTGAAAATTCACCATATATAGTGGGTGATCGGTTAACAAACATAATCCGTTCCAAGACTTTGTTCTCTATCCGAATTGTTTGTTAATTGATTACCAATTTACCATAGGTTTTTATGGAAATTTGATTAATTCGTTCTGGAGACTCCAAAAAATAAAAAAATATATACTTCTTACTACGTTTATTTATATGTAATAATAAAAATACATATATACACAGTCTTGCATTTTTATTAGTTGTGTTTTTTCCATTTGTGGAGATTAAANGAATTGTTTGTTAATTGATTACCAATTTACCATAGGTTTTTATGGAAATTTGATTAATTCGTTCTGGAGACTCCAAAAAATAAAAAAATATATACTTCTTACTACGTTTATTTATATGTAATAATAAAAATACATATATACACAGCCTTGCATTTTTATTAGTCATCTTTTTTCCATTTGTGGGTGTTAAAGAATCTGTCTAGTGTCGATTGCTTTTCTCTCTTCTTCAGGATTTTTCAGAAGTAATTAATAGCATTGAAATTGTAGAGATCCCCAAGCCTAGCCTATTAACCTCAACCTAGTTTGGATGCCATTTTAAGACCATCGTTCTGACATCCTCCCATTTCTTCAAAAAATGCTTAATAGCAGATATCGACATTTATTATTTTTTCAGAAGAAAACATATCTCGCCGAGTTTCTTGGTGTTTTTCATTCAAGAGTTCTTGGTGTTCTTCTATCATCAGATCCATTTCAGGTTCCATTATGAGCTCTTCAATGCTCTTTATTTCTCAGATGTGATTTTTGTTACTCCTTTAGCTGCTTGAGTCTTCTTGATTATACAGTACCTTTTTTAGATAAGATTGAACTGCGGCCTACTGTAGACCTGTTTGAGCCATACTGCCCAACAACATCAGACATCTTCTGCCCACTCTCTACCTTTGCTATTGTGAAATCCGGACTTTTTACCGAATTTTCCGATTAATATACAGCATTTTTCTAAACCCCCAATTTAAATTTTCCTTTAAATTCTAAACTAAAACCTAACTTAAAAAAAGGGAAAAATTCCAATCTTCCCTTTCGTTTAAAGTAAACATCCGTCCATTTCGAAACTAATCCCACATTCCAACTCCAAATTTGATAGTTAGCATGGGCCCGGGAACAACTTTGACCCATCCGCGTATCTTTTACCTTACAACAATTGGTCACATGACCATTCTCCCACGACGAAATTATAAAAGCCATTTGCTTCCCCCTCTTGAGGGAGTCGTTCATCCGCCGTCACTTTAATACTGTGTCCTGCGAATATTGAGTCCGATTGATATACTGTGTCCTATCGATATTGTGTCCTACAAAAATTATTATCCTTATCCTAAAAACCCGTTGGATATCATAATCTTTTTTTCAAGAATATTTAAAGACATAAAGAGGTATGGAACAAATTTTTGTGAACTCTCTCTCGGCCCTTCGCGTTTTAGGGACTCAGATTTTTCCCTTTGAAATTAGTTATTGTAATATCTATGTAGCTAATAAATTGTTGTTATCTTGTTAAATTGGTGTCCTCTTTTACTCGTATATCGCCTGTCATCTTACCGACAGCACTCCTCCCTCCGCCACTCGACCTGAAACATTAAATCCCGTTACGACGGGAAAAAGGATAACTCTCATCCATCCTGACAGTGAGAAGTTTTAACAACCTGTTGCTGGAAGGGAGACCTACACCCTCCTAGCGGTTCACACTATTATACTCTCACCTTTTGAAAATAAAAACCGACGCAAAACTCAACGAGTGCTCGCCCGACAGTCTCGTGAATACTATAAAAGAATTGTTTCTGAAAAATAAAAAAACTGGAATTACAAGGGAGCATTTCAAAGTTTGGAGGAACACTATCCAATTAGTACATACCAGGTTGAGTGTCGATGTTGACGTCTCCTGCGCTCCGAAAAGTTTCAAATTGTTGTCTGAAGACAAGAGAAGACCGATCGGTATTCATTATTTTACGTTGCTTCTTATTGTGTTTGTTCTGTGAGGTGTTCATTATCTGATCATGTGTTTGTTGTCCGAACATAAAAATCTTTTGCAAAAGTGTTCGTTATCTGATTTGTTTGTTAATCGATCACTCACTGTATAATTAGAACTTATGTATTCAATGAAAATGTTTTTGTTATATAAACATGTTTTTTTATGTTTGTTTGTATTGTGTTATTTTTGCTTTTAGTATCTGTACCTAATAGTTGTTTAAGAGAGCAGTTATCATATTTTTTATTTTACAAAAAAATTAAATAAAAATAAAAATGACATTATCATTGATATCACTGAGTTTAATTCATATTTAAAGTTTAATATAGGTATCCCTTATCAATGACAGGGTTATATTCTTGAGAAATGCCATGATTGATAAAATTATGGTTCACAAAACATAATTTTATCAATCATGAAGAAAGATAAACTTTGACACTGATTACATATTGTAAGATGATGATAAATTAATAATAAAATATTTTAATTGATAATAATTTACACAAAGATTTACAGAAATGTTCATTATATATTTATAAACATAAAACAAAAAGTCTTAAAAAGCTTTATTTTTACAAAAAAGCTAGATTGATGATTATTTTATTTTTTCTCAAATTTTTTTATAGGACACCAGCAATGCTTTTATTCTTTGTTTAACATTTAAACTTTATTCACTGACTGAATCAATGTTTGTAGAATGATTAGAAAGTTCATATGTCATTTGCATTCCTTTGTTTATTGCAGTGAGATCAGCACTGGTTTTTCACTTCTGACTTTGTTTTCATCTAATGTTTTTGTTGTTATCTTCATTTCAAATGAGTTTCTCAAAATTGTTGCAGTTCATTATCTTGTAGTTGAAGAAATTCTTCAATCTCCTTGGGCTGTCAGGAAATATGCACTTTCTAAAAATCTAGCAACTGCCATGATGTGTTAATGGCAGCTGAAGAAATTTCATTTACATTTCTCATAACCTCTTTCCAATTTTTTTCCAAGTAGCATTCAATATCAATGGCCTAATCTCTTTATTATTAAGAATTGTTCAATCTTATAGTCTAGAATGGTGAAGTTTTTCAACACTAACAAAATTCTGAGTGTCTCTCCATTCTCTTAAAGATGTACATGAATATGTGACAAATATAATTTTTCATTGTTGCCTTGATCTAAAGATTGAAGCAATTAGAACATTAAAATTTTTTGAAAATAGCATTTATATTCATGTTTCAATACAATCAGAAGTAAAATTATCTCCAGTATTTATATAAGCAATTATTTATTGTACTATCATCAAAATCCAAGGCTGCTGTGTTTTGTCACAGTGCTCTCAATTTTAGTATTATGTTGATCCTGCACATCCTACTTTTCCTATTAGTCATGCCAATTATCTAACTCCATTCAGGAGAAAATTTTAAAATTGAAATTACGTGACATCCAATTTGGACTGGAAGTTCGTATAATCAGGGCCTCCTGCCTTAAGCTTTCCATATCTGGTCTTGAATTTCATCTATATAACTTTTGTCTTTCCTTAATCTCAAGAACAGACAGATGGATACCAGTGAAAATTTATAGGTTTACAATTTTTGAAAACTTTGTTTTGTGTTTGTTAAATGATGTATTAAAATTTATTTATTTTAGATACCGTTATGTATTGTGTCCATTTTACAATTTCACACAACATGAAATGGCACTTCGTTGGAATGCATACCAAGGAATATTAGGGTAAATTTTGAAATAAGTCATTATAAATTAAATTTACTAAATTTTAATGAATATTTTGATGTCAAACATTTTATTTTCTTTCTATTTCATAGAATTTGGAAAGAATGGGAAATAGAAAACAATACCTTTACAGCCATGATATATAGTAAAGGAGATTTATGTGGTAACACAGATAGGTCTGCTAAAGTAAGTTTTATTTAAATAAAATAAAACACAGAGAACGATAATACTGTGTATTATAATTGTTAATTAATCAATAATATATTTAAAATTGAGAAAATCATGGTTATTAACGTTATTATGCTCTTCTTAAATCTTGTATTTATAATAATTAAACTCTGAAGAATTTGCAAAATTGCATTAAATTATTAGTGTTTCCCACTGGATACTTGGAAATTAAGATTTTCCTTGCCACTGTAGTTTTAAATAATTAAAGCCAATGATACAAAGATTATCTTTGGCAAACAATTTTCTTATTTTTATCTAATATTTGAAATATAGTAAAATCCTTCTAAAACAAGATAACTTCAGCTTTTGTTTTAATAGAAATGTTCTATTCCATTTAGTTATCTTACAAGTTAGTATATCTAAATATGGTCAATTTTACTTTGAATTTATGTTATCCTGAAAAATAATTTTTCTCTTATAAAATAAATCTAAGATTGATGATAAAATACCATTTTAGTTACTATCATCATGCTATCTATGGAAAAAATTTTGTTAGAACAAAATAAAAAAACTTACACACACACACATATATATATATATATATATAAATTCTTAAGAATGAGTCGGTGACACACAAACAACATGATGTCTTGTTGTTTATTTGTAAATTAAAAAGTCAGTTAAAATTTGAACAGGAAAATAATGTCATTTAAAATATAAACTGAAAAAGTTGTTTTTACAGTACAGTAGAGCGTCGATTATCTGAATCAATTGGGGACCGGGGTTCGGAAAATAAATTTTTCAGATAACCAATTATGTACGAAAAAATACACTATTAATATAGTATATTAATATATCCCATATTTAAATTTTTCTCCGTTGCGTGTCGCATCGCTTCGCTTTGTGTTGAATTTCTGTCAATGTTAAGCCTAACGAAAATTTTTATAATAATAATCGTGGCTATTGTATCGTTAAAAATTATTTCTTTATTTTGTACAAACAAAATAAATATATTGAAAAATATAAAAACAAAAAAAATTATACTTTAGAAGTTAATCTAGTATCAAAAACGGTCGATTCAGTACGACTGGCACGCTTTCGGTTGATCAGGATTCAGATAATCGATACTCTACTGCAGCGATTCCCAACCTGTGGTACGCGTACCCCTAGGGGTACGCGATAGGTTGTTTAGGGGTACAGAAAAAAGTTAGTTATTATGGCAGAAAAAATAATATATTATGTATCACAAACTAATAGTATTAAAAAATTATTAGATAAATAATGTTCCTTGCAACAATCACAACTTTATTATACATTTTTTCTTTTAGTTTTTTTTTCTTTAATTTAAAGTTACAATATGTAAAATTAACAATACGGTTACTCACTAAATTTCTTAAATGAGGGGTACAATCTAGAGATATGACATGTCACGGGGTACGCTAATGAAAAAAGGTTGGGAACCACTGCTCTACTGCATTAAAAGATTTTGACTAATAATTTTCAATTTAACTGTTTTCTATGTAATCTTTATATGATGTAAAATGAATGAATCTGCTTAACTAATAAAAAATAAACAATTTTTACATCAACTAGCACCAGAAGTTAAACATTCTAAATTCATCAAAATGTTTGCCGGTGCCCGTTTTGTAATTTTACAATTGAATTTATTACATTAATATTTTATAAATTAATCTTATAATATACATTTAATATAAAATTATATTATTGTGTTTAATGTAAATATATAGATTAAATAGCCTCATTATACAAACTATTAAATGGAGATAGTGTGTCTCATTTTTTGCACAGAAGAAATGGTAGATGACCTGGTGAGAGAACATAAGTTGCAGTTATGGTTTATTTTTGGTGTCATTCTAAACTTTTTTTGGTCTTCACATTCAACAATTGATTGAAATTACAGTAGACCCCCCTATAACGCTTAGATACGTTCCACGCTAACCGAAAATTACGTTGTAGGAATGAGCCAATCGCAGCCCGATAGGTGGGAACTTTACGGACTAAGGCTGTTCGAAAGGTTTTCTTCTATAAAATTAACCGATTCTAGACTAATTCCACTCAACATTTCCAAAATACGTATAATTTTTTGGGAATAATCTGTATAAACTATGCTATAAACAAAAAATTGTAGGATTACTTACACCGTTCGACTACGCCGTTGCTTAAAGCTGGTTTTCATCGCGGAACA